ATTCGAATGGTTTGCCCTAGCGGTGCGAGGTGATAAAGAGATGTGAGGAGGGTTAGTCATGGAGGTAAGAGAGGTATTAGGAGGTGTAGGAAGGATTTGAATGTGACCAACTTGGTCTCGTGTGCTGTTACGGGTATGAGGGCTGATGTCACTTCCCGGCTGCCCACACCGTGGAAGGTTATTTCTTGAGGAACCTGAAAAGTAAATAGGATTAGTGTTGGTCTTGACGACTTTGGAGCGTGACCGCAAAGCCCAAGGCACAACTGCTTGATGAGGCCGGTCGCTCACGGCCTTTTCGTGGAAGGTTTTTAATGTGTTAGCTCCGTTCTTCAAAGGGCCTTACCGCCGGAGACGGAAATCCGTGAGGTAAGGTGAAGTGTGACATTTTTAGGGTCGACCTTTTCTAACCCCCTTCCTTCCTTGTGAGAAGGCAGCATAGCTGTAGATGCTGGTTGTCAGAGGGAAACACCTTACTGCCGTGACACCTCTGTACAGTCAGCAGTACGACTTCGTCTTCAGACCTTGAGTTGCTGCTTTTAGTCTTACCGTTCTCCAATCGACCTGCCTGGCATGGTAGAACCTACAGGAACATATGTTCCAGCCAATATAGCTCGGTTGGGTGATCACGATAGGCAAGCCCGACCACCGCGTCAAGGTAGCAGCTTCGGTCGGGTCTGGGTGACATGGCTCAGAATCGATCACGATGACGTAGATGTATACACTTTATCTTCCTTTAAACTATGAGATTAAAATCGCTTCATATCTTTCTTTCTACCATTTAATTCTTTCTTCCTGTACTATATCCTTATATACAATCTTCCTTTTATATATTGCCAACACTGAATTAACTGCTATGAATTGGTGTTCATCTTGCGCTAATGAGTTGTGGCAACTTGAACCGATGCACATATGTGCCGGTTCCTACGTTGTAGCTGACTGACTGAATTAGTTATCATTACTCAGTGGTATTGTAAATAACGAAGGGATTTTTTTGGACATATCTATTTTGATTTCTATAAAAATTGTCTAAATAATCTTAGCTATGCCGAGTTTTTGACAGTTTGGTCGTTACGTGTTTTTATGGGAAAGAGTAGTATGAAAACAAGCTGCGGTATAGGCTAGAATTAAAATACACAACCAAATAATTTCTATTTGCTTTGCGGAATGTGTAAGGTGTACGACTTTAAATGTACAAGACAACAACCATTACTTGATGCTTCTAACTGGCAGTTCATGGTAGGCTGCAATTGTTTTCTTTTAAGCGTTTTCGCTTTCCGTCAGTTCTCAAGTTGTCGTTTGTTATTCCATCCACCTGAAGGATTTTATATCCCAATAATTTTGACAGTTTCAAATGCTTATTCCTTAGTGGTAGTGCAAAACATAAGTTCCATTTTCTTTATTTATAGGGTGCCATTATTCCTACTGCTGGTGGTGGTTCAGCTGTTGTTTTTAATGATGTAGAAGTTTTACGTCAATCTTCTCCAGGCCGCGAACAAAGGTAGATTGTTGTTACATTATCGTTTTATTAAGATTCTTGCTAAGAATAGGATTTTCCTGAAGTAATATTATGAATATCTATTTTTATCCAGGAAATGTGTTCACTTGTGAATCTGACTAAATAATTAGTATGAAATACGATGACTGTGTAAATAGAATAGTTTTCAGTAACCCGTTTATCCAAACATATAACTGTATAATCTTAAGTTTATAAGTCCAAGTTTTCAGTACAATCAGAGCATTCGGAAAAAGTCGTGTATTCTCGCTTACAAACTACCATACAGATTAATTCACTTTATATGGCATACATCCAACTTAGTATATGCCTTCACCCTCGCTGATCGGTTGTAGTAATGTTTTTGTGTACTCGTATCAACCTCTAACCTGGATAGTACGATTTATAGTCTCTGCTCATTTTTACGTGGATTAGGCGGGTGCGTTTCTACATATGAACTGTCAAATACGTCCACCTTACACCTCCAAAATGCGGTCAGTAGTTGATTGTGTTGACTCGATTTCAGTAGTATATTCTAAGGGTAGTGGCTTTAAAAAGAATTAGAAGATATTTATGCGTTAATTTAGACTACCTCCTTAGATTAAAAATGAAATAGTGTTTCGGTAAACTTAGCAGAGTAGAGGCTTAATTAATGGGAAGTTATGTTTGAAAACTGTTGATGACCTTTAGTTTAGATTCTACGCTAATCCAGGTTCCCCACTACTGTAAACTCTCGTTAAGATTTAAAATGTGTAAGTTTTTTACTTCTATTTATAGGAAAAGTAGTCGCCCCAGAGGCGCTGATGCTCATTTGAAACAAGTTATAAGCGAAACTTCTCGTCGATCAGGGATAAAACGTCGCTATTCTAATTCACCGACAAGAAGACCTTCTAATGAATCTGTCTCAACACATAGTTCTCAAAGCACAATGGCATCTGACTATTGTCCTATGAGTCCATCTATAGAAAAAATCTCAACAGCTTATAATGATGCTAAATGTTATATCGGCATCGACTGTAATGGAGGAATGGGCTTACGAAAGTATGTTTTTTAATTTTAGATCTATATTGTTTTTCTCCAAACTATATTTCGTGCACTTTAAACTCAGAGGTCCGTGATTCTATGGTTCTTAGAATAGTTCTCTGCCGAAGTTTCAAAAGATAATAAATGTTCACGCGATACACATAGTTCGCATTTGATTGGATAAACTTCCTAGTAGTTACTCTATTATACTGTTTTATGTGCTATTCATATCGCTATAATCATGGACATGTATTTCAAACTCGATTGTGCAGTCGTTACTTATTTCTGCGTCCCACTGATTGTAAACCGTGACGCATAATGAAAGCCGCGCCCATAGATGTCACTGGACTCAGAAAATTAGCTTTAACCAGATAGTCGTTAATAAAGCTGACAGTAAAAAGGGAGTTAAATTTAATTCACTGATATTACCTCTGCTATTCTGTCATCTGGCCTGACAATTTCATCTGTGTACTGATGGGATGTGGCAACTTGAACCGATGTACATACGTACCAGGTTTTGCGTTGATTGGAGTCATGAAGGAGACACTTTTAAGAACAGTTTAGCCAAACCTTAGATACATCCTAGTTATTCACAATCCCTCGACAGCCTGAACGGGCAATCAGCATTAACATCCGACTCTTAGTGGCGTTTGAGTGCTACACTAATTGCCTTCGTTGAGCGTTCTTATTTCATAAGCAACTCAAACTCCCTAGTTATAATAACTGAAGTCATCTGAACAAATGAAATTTTTAAAAGATTGGATTCTATCGTTATCTTACACCTAATTAAAGCTCAGAAACACCAAGCCTGAAAAAACCAGACCTTACTCTGAGTGTAGCTATCAAGTCTGTGGAAAAATCGGCATATGAATGCAGAATTTTAGTCGTATTTCTTGACCTGAAGGATGAATTTACCTCATCAAATTCTAGATGATGCATCAAAAATTGTCTGTATTAATACATTATCTAAAGACAGAGTGCAGTAATCCGTCGTATCACATGAAAAAACAAACTCTGGTGAGTTATTAATTGACAAAACTGGCACAAGTTAAAGATGCGTGGAAAGAAGAATGACTTGTGAAAATTCAAGCATACGCGATCCAGCAGTTAATGTTGGCTGGTTGTAACAAAACCTCAAGAAACGTGTCTAACCTCTATTCGTTCGAAGAAACAACATGGCAGTAGAATATTAATTATTCCTAATAAAAGGCCTTACGCATGTTACGTTAATTTCAGCTAAGAAAAGTAGTATATAAATGCTCCCCAAACTGTTAATAATGATGTAGTCTATTGTAGTTTTCCGACTGTCAGCAAAAATTACCAAGTTAAATTACTATCTTTTGTAATATGATGTGAAAAATTTACTTTTGTGTTTCTTATTTTTACTTATTGTCTACCAGTTATTTCAAGGAACATTGTTTATTTATTTTTCCTTTTTTAGAAGGTCCAGATTGTAAAAAAGAACGTCGGAAGTAAAACTGATTACTTTTTTGCTTGTCTATTTAATATTATATAGAAAAACTACTAACTTATCCATATTCACGTGCATATTTTTTGTTTTTAACCGTTAAAACTATTTATATTTTATTAGTCTTTTGTCATTGCTTATTTTTGACGTACTGTAACACTTACATCAGATTCCCTTATAAAATCAAATACACTTATTTTATAACTTTTCTCGAACCTTTTTTGTTTTTTAGTGGCAGATATTTGAACTTTGTTATGTTACCATGACAATTTATACGGATTACCACTTGCCTACTGGAACACTAGTGGCATTTAGATTACTTTTAGTGCCTCAGTAACACAAAGCATGTCCAGCATCTGAAGTTGGTAAACGTGTTACTTAGTGCGGCATGGAGTTAGAACATTGTGAACGTCGATGTAAACTTATCAACGGAATTCATAAGGCAGATAACTTGCGTCATTAAATCCAGTAATATAGTAAAAAGCGGCATTGGTAATACTGTTGATAAGAGTGGAATGGTCAAAAATTAATAGTAGAAAAAAATGTCCCAAAGTACAGGTGGGAAGCTCAAGTTTTTCGATTGTTAATCATGAAGGTGCAAAGACAGAGCTCACGGAGAAACCTGTAAATATGACGACAACGCGGAATTTTGAAGTCACTCGTCGGTAACTGGGTCCAGGCAACATCTGTTCGTACTTACTGTTCGGAAAACCCCCAAAAGTATCTCGAACTCGATATTCCTCAAAGTAAAGATAACTTCGAATGCAATCGTAAAGATGTTCTTGGAAAATGATCAGCCTATTAAGAATGTTAAATTGGAGTGGCTCAGAAACCATTTCACACTGATACTTATCAGTTGAATTAAAAAGTCAAGTTCTACCCCGTACACATGATGCATCTGTACTATGTAGAAGCTGTTCTGTCTTAAAACCCAGATTAAGTCTACATTTTAAGACTCAACCTCAGCACTACTTATTTTGTAAATCCGATTAATATTAACGGTGGGTTGCACATGATAAAAACATAACACATTTTAGTGTTCTCAATATACAGAAAGATAACACTGATTTAAACAAAGCTTATAGTACATGAATTTATTAACTACAGCAAAGGAATATATAAAACATGAAAGGCTTTTTCAAATAAATCTTTACAGTTGACTGAACAAAACAGAGTAGAAGATTATTCACAGAAGAGCAGTAAACACACTAGTAGATCGATGGCGTTTCAAACTTGGAGGACTTAACAAAACAGAATTAGGTTTAATCACATCAACTGGTCGTTTTTGCTGAAAAAATAAATATTGGGGTTTACTGTTACCATTCAGAGAAAAACAAAATCTATGAAATTTAATTAGTTATTATGTGATGGGATACGTGATTTTGGAGTTCCAGGTGAAGTGTATCTTTACGATGCAGACTATCCAATATGAGTTATTGCAATACCAAGACATCGTAAGGTATTTTCTTAAATTCATATTAAGTAACTATGTTATGAAGAAAGACTAATCGAACTATTTAGCATATTTCGTAACTCAGCAGGTTTGTGCTTTTAGATAATGATATACCTTTACTGACGCTGCTATTTGAGTTGAAAGCTTAACAGTGAGCAGGTCATTGCTTATATTTGTGTCTGGAAATTTATTGCTAAATCTATAAAAACTCGTTACTTGAATTTTATTAGGCATTGATTTGTCTCTAAAGGAACTAGTGTTAAGGTACTTGCATACGTAGTGGGCTGATTTATTTCAGATCGAAAAATTTGAAAAGGATAGCTAGGATCGAATAATGTAATCAAGTGAAGATGTCTAGTAGCCGAAAATATAATCACTGCGCTAGAGATATACCAGAAAATTTCCTGAGAACCATATTGTAAATCAGTAGCACTAACAGAAAGATAATTATAAGCAGCTATAAAACTGATCTAATACTAATCTGATACCCGAACCTTACTGCATGGAAGGAAACAGATATTTGAGATGACAAAATCTGCTTTCAAGTCGCCGAATAGCTACACAAAATTACTTCTGTGGCTAAGGTACAAAATATTGATGAGTGTAAACACATAATGTGCTTTCATAGTTAACACACTGAGCAAAGCATGATGAAAATGTTTCGACAGTGTATTTTAGCGGAACATGTATGAAATAAGTTAGCTTTATCAAAGCTTCAGTTGTGAGACATTTCCAGAAGTATACGTCTCATAAGTCTTATACAGGAAGGAAAAGCTAGTCTAATTAAATTAGAAGTTCTGAAGTGAATGTTGACTAGCTTGAGTAAAACCTGAAATAAATTGCTGTAAGCGATTATTACCTAAATGCATCTTTTCATGAAATATAACTAACCTTAATGGCGAAATTACGGGATCTTAGAGAATTCTGGTTAGATGCACCGTTATCATCAAATGGGTCGATTTTTTCTGGTTTAATTTGAGCCGTCATAACACTAAAGCACGATAGACCGACCTTGCTCCGTAAATCTAGATGTGTTTGGTCGCGACGACTTTCACTTTTTGACGTACCGACATCGAAACCATCGTTAACATTTGAATGAATCTGGGTAGTTTCAGATTTACAACCAGGAACAAGGCCCCCAGCAAAACGACTCAATAGAGAACCACGCTATAAAATACGAATGAGATTTTATTTGGAAAATAGTACTAAGCAAGCATATATAAGTAGTTACAAGAATCAAGACAGTGATATAATGTGGCTGAGTGTTGGCTACTCACGTGAACGTACAATTGATTTAGGACTGCGAATATGTAGAAATCAAAGACAAAACCACTAGTCAGAGTGGTAGTTTTCCATGTAATGCTTATATACAGAATATGAACACAAAATAAATATGATAAAATGTCATAGGCGATTGGAGGAAATCAGCTTGTAGGTCACTTATTCTCCAATCAATTGAGACCTAACTGTCAAGCCAAACCTTTGGGTTTAGTATCGACCTCAAAGCCATGTTGAGGCGCAAATGTGACCTGGTTAGTATGAAAAAGTGAATTATTTATCTAGCCAAAGACATAACACAAGTGTCTTCATCAATGTGAAGTCCTACAAATATGCTTGTTAATACTATTATCCGACTTTTAAGAATAAAGCATACTAAACAGCTTTGGTTTTTTTTAATAAATAGCTGGATAAATCGTTATTAACTGATCTGTATCAGTGAACGAACCAATAAGATACTAAGGGTTTCTGATACAATTTCTACATCAACTCTTGTGATGATGTTATTGTATCTTTATTATTTCGATTTATTAGGATATATCTTATTGATGACCCATTCTTTATCTGATTTATAATACAGTTAAGCGAAGTGTTAATTAGTCAAGACATACTAGACAAGGAAGAATATAACAAATAAAGAATATAATAAAATGATAAATATTAGTAAACTTACTCTGATCATTTGAAATCTTACATCACTACCAGTATTGTTAACATTAAATTTTACAGGAGCAATTGGTTTATCATTATTATTATTAGAAATGATAACATTGTCAACTTTACTATTATTATCTGCATCATTAGTAACACCTTCATTAATAGGTAGATTATGAGGTTTGGGTTGCAAGAAATAATTAGAGATCAATGGGCTTCTAAGCGTAGACGATGGTTTGATGGTCTTTCCTTCAGAGGAGCAGAAAAATTGAAATATTAGTTTGAAATATTGGTTTTAATAACCAAAAGCTCTATTGAATAATAATAATGTATTAGATTGTGAATTAACTAACGTTTGCCGGTGACTGTCAATTACTTGCAATGGCTCAGATGCAACCACTATATTTTTTCCTTAAATTTTTAGATTTATCTAATATTTTCTTTAATTTCATGAATTTTTACTTACCTCTTGAAATATATTTTCCTATACCTAATCTTTCCTGCCATCGTTAAAACCATTACTAATTCTACTACTCTGGTGTCTCTCTTAGTAGTTATGTAGTGTAGTGACCCTAAACGATACACATGTACCAGGTTTTACATTGTGTATGACTGACTATCAATGAGAAATTCTACTACGAAAGATTAAAATAAATATGGGTACTTCGGCAATTAATTAAGCAGAGTTAGAGAAATAAACAGTAGCATATAAGCTGTAATACTATTGTGATGGATACATTGAGCTATGATGAATATAAATATTCTGAAGGATATACAGAAACCGAAATTCAATAGCCTTTTAGTAAAGCAGAATAACAGACTAGTAAAAAGTCCGATTAATTGAAATAGTTATCCGTGGAGGAGACATCAGTCAATCATAAACAGCCTAAAACTTCGGACATAGGTCCATTAGCTCAAGTTGCCACCTTTCTCACCAATATGCTGAGAGGGAACTAAAGAGATGAAGGGTAAAGGAGTGTGAATAATGGTAGTGTCAGTGATAACGAAAACAGAGAATACAGGTTGAAAAGAAATAGAATAATTATGAGCTATTCTGACTGATTTCGAATCTTGTCGCCAAATATATTAGAATAATTTAACATAATCAGTAGATTACAGCGCATATCTCAACCAGAAAGTTAGAAGCTCGAAAGACAGCCTTGTCCAACAGCAAAGATCTTCACTGATTGGTACTACTTTTATTTTGTCACTCCTAATTTCTTCCATCCTACTCAAACACTAGACATTGTTATACGTAATAACAGGCGTGACAGTTACATATTACAGATGTTTGGTAGCTAATGTGACGACTTTATGAAACAAGCACAAATGACACGATCTTGAGAAACATTTAAAATTGTTCTTGTAACCTGATTTGTTAGGTTTATACCGATTTCTAAATTTGTAATTGACGCCTTACATATGCGTACTTATATAACTGATTGAATATAGCCGACATCAGTGTAAGATCAGACTGGAGCCAAACGAGATTATGATGAAATTAATAAGCGTGTAAAAAAATGAACATGTATTTATGGAGTGAATATCTGGACAATAAATAAGACATTTGTGTGAGTAATTCGGAATACTGTAATAGTTGAGTGCTAAACATATATGCTTATATAAAAAGTCAAGATTATAAGCGAATAACTGACATGATCAAAGTGTGTGAATAATGACTCAAGAAGATAAAATTAATTAGTCCGTCCAAAATCTAGAATAATTCATGAAAATGTGACATAGTACTAGACCGTACAGTGACCTCGTGAAGAAAGTTGTACATTAATGTGAAAAATATCTAATTTCGAAAAGAATACTAGAGTGGTGTGTGAGTGACATCAACAATAAGTAACGAGAAAAGTACTATTCTGGATAGAGTATAATCATACATGAACGGTGAGTGTTCAGTACAAGTATCACATTTATGTAAAAAATATATATGAATACTGTACGAGGGTGGACTTTTTTTCATCGTTCAATATCATAAAAGTTTTCCAACCTAAAGTGAGCTCGTTTCATTTTTTCATGTCACTTCGCCCCATTATTGTGTACACATTCCCGCGACTGAAGTCATTTTTGAATTAGCGTACTTTAGTAGTTTGGCTTTGAGATAATTCTTTAGGCTTCGTAGACCAATCGCCCCAAATAACTGTTATTAAATAAATCGCACGGTGTATGGATTCAGAAGGCAACACGAAAGTGCCGACTTCGGTTTATCATTGAATAGCGCAGATCACAAAGCCACAAACATACCAAGCGAATTCGAGCAGAAAAGCTAATGCGCGCGAGCAAGCAAATATATAGGCGGATTCAGAGTCGAATCAATTCATAAGATTCAAACACATACAAATATGGAAAGTGAATGATTCATCAAGCGATCTTAAAGCAACTAACATTTAAGCTCGAGAGAGGGATATGTGCGTAGGCTGCCGGATGTGATCAAGCATACATGATAAGAATACCAAGATATACAAATTGTTACTGATCAAACAACGCTCTTCTAAATAAGTGAATTGAAGGGCTAAGCAAAATTAATCAGAAACAAACCTAATTGTAGGAGAGGTGCTATTATATGTCTATGAATGCCTTTAATTCTAGCATGCCTTTTACTAAGACCGATTGTCTTTGGTATATTCTGAAGCGTCTATCACAGCAATGGCTCTATGAGACTTTAATTATTTAAAGTCATACATTTTCGTAGCTATATTGTTATCACATTACACATTTCCGATGTATTTACCAAATGCTCGTATATCGAACAACTTGTTGCGTACTAAGTAAATTGGTGGTCTAACGACACCCGAACGCAGTCGAGAGAACTTCCTACACGCTGATGATAGCACGGTCGCAACCAATCCAACGTTGGTAAGGGTCAGCAACGCTATCATAGACATAAGTTTGGATTCATACTCCCGCTAGTAGTTCTCAATATGCAACAATGTTCACTTATCTCATTTATACGAGAATTTCAACAGATTTCCACCATATATCTATAGTCACTTGATGTTTAGTCGATAAGCCTTACTATCATGTTCATACATTCATCAAAATTTTGACTCCGCATTCTTGGCCTATAGAAATCGGATGTTGGACTATGATCATAGATTTGATGAAGAAAAATAATACCAACGCTGAATATTCCTAAAAAGCACTAAATAAATAACTTACCACGATTGACTGGTAACTTATTACGTACAACTATTTGAGTTTTCAACTTCGTTTGAGATTTTAGTAAAGCCTTTTTTCCTAAAGATAAAACCTATTAAAAAGATAATATATAGGAGTATATTTTAACAACTGCACAGCTGGAAAATTAAGTTTACAGCAAATAATAAATTGAAATGGTCTAAAATCTGACTAATCTACAGCTGTAAACTTATACAAATAGAAAACTTAGTAAATAAAGGAAAAAGATAACTTTATTGTATACATCTGAAATGAATAGTACATATCATCACCAGTTTGATTATGGGATCAGAATACATATCGAATATTGCAAAAGGATTTAAAAAACATCCGGTTTTCAATATTATTAGTGAATAGTACAATTGTAACTTGTTTGACTATGAAGCTGTGCGATATGGGGTCGAATCCACTAGAGAACATTAGTTCCCTCGAGATTACTAGCACACCTTACTGACCAAGTGCCAAATAGAATGAAAACTAGGAGAAGTAGGGTTTCGAATTGACTGCTTTCAAACGCCATTTTACATTTCACTATAGTGCGCGCGATGTCGAGTGACTTGAACTAGTGGCTAAATTTCAACTTGGCTGATAGAACTCAAACATCACTAAGAAGGACTTGATATAAATGACATTGGACACTTACTCAGTGATCAATAAATTGTAAATAAATACTTATATTAGCAGTGAGAGTGAACTTACACCATTTGATAAGTCGTCAGTTACTATTTTCGAATTTTCCATTTCTTCATCAGATTCTAATACTGAATCATTAGGATCTTTATCATTTGTTTGTTTATTAGATGATGAATGTATTGTGTCAGAATCTAAATAATCATTTTCAATGGATTGATTATTTTCATCATTCGAGGATTTCATTGGACCACGACGTAACCAATTGTCTATAGGACCAAAAGGTATACCATGATTTTCATCTTCACTTGAATTATCATCATCACCACCACTATTATCCATGTTTATTTGATCATCAAATGGATCATCATTATCTAAAAATTAAGTTACTGATTAATACGTTTTTCAAATATCTAGTTTGGGAATTTACACATCCGAGAAATTCGAATGTACATTAGAAAGAACTAGTAGAGTGAAAAGCAATGCGCCATCCCTTATTATATTTCTACAGTACTGAGAAATTAGTGTAGAAAATGAATGACATTAACACTTCAATTGACTTTGACTTCAATGAGAAGTCATTTCTCTTTAAAGGCAACGAAATAGTCTACATACATTACAGAAATGTAAAACAAACCAAACAAATTAGTCGATGTAAAGCTAACGGTTGACGTAATTCTCTAGGTCGGATTCTGTGAATGAAAGTATGCTACATTTAAGAAGTCAACACATAGAACTTAAATGTGATGATTCATATGGCTTCACCCAGCTAGCGAATCGTGCATCTAGGAAATTGGTAAAAAAGTATCAGGTGTAGATTTAGCTAAGGATTGTTCATAGTTAAAAGAACTGCCTATAAGTCTGTAGGACATACTTAAGTATCTTTGAATGGAGAGATATTGAACATGTAACTAGTTATCTAAATAGAAATTCCTTGAATACATGCAACCTAGTTTGTTTAATTTTAAAACTGTGAAATCTTGTCTTCAATTTTATCCATATTCATAAACGGAACATAAGCATTCATAAAAAATACTTATATAATAAGGTTACCTAAACCGCGCCAACGAAAACGTCTCTGACGAACTCGTCCATTTTCAGCATGTAAATCACCGTCTTCAAAATAAAGTTCCTGTCAAAATATTAAAAAAAAACATCTCAACGATAGAAATCACTAAAATATGATTAATATCGCTCTAATAAGAATATTCTCGGAGAAAATATGGGTATTTCGAGTCGCAGTAAATACGCTGAGACATACTGATATAAAACTATATCTGGTTACTGGATAACAATTTGAACAAAATGTGGTAAGCAATACATTACCGGTATATATGTATGGAAACACAGTTTTTGGTTTTTTATAACTAAACGATTGTTTACGTACATAAATCTTATAAAGGTTGGAGAAATTCGTTAACTAAATCCTCTAAAAACTCAATATCATTGTGAAATATACTATAAAGGAGCGCTAAATTAAGTAACTACCACACACACTTGTACCTTAGTATAAACTATTCTTATAATGTGACTTAACTCTATCTAAAACGAAATAAGCTTACGGGGCTTGAATAGGTGAACAATTGGCCAAATTAAATTGTCAGGTAGATCATTTGATTTTCCAGATAATAAACGTGACCAAAACGCACCGAAACACCATTCAGAGGTGACTAATTACTAAATATTTTTGAGGGACGTTATTTCAACTCATCCACTATTAGTGTATCCCTTTAAATGAAGATGGTCAGCACTATTTCTACGCGTTAGCGAAAAAAAGCCTGACTGTATTCATCGATGTGACATTTTACTGTCTGATGTTTTCAATTATAATATGCAAACGAGTCTAATCTTTAGTTCATAAGTGAATTTCTATGTAGAAGAATAAATGTTAGTACGCATATCAGATTTACATATAATAATAAGCATTACTATAGGATTGCGTTCTCTGAGGTCGGTGCTTTTAAGTTTATCTCGATGATGTTATAAAGAAAGATAATGAAAGTTTCAAAACAAAACCATCTAGATGAAAGAATGCAATATCACCATAATTATCCTTGTGAACTACATAGAGCATTTATTTATCAATGTATTAGTTAAACGGAATTGTGCACGAATCTTTTAAAAAAAATACACGATGAACAGACTTTGATAAAGGATTATGAACAGTTTCAATAGATTGACAATCATGTAGGTTCAAATTTAAAGTATTGGTTTCCTCAATACAATATGGCAACTATTGAGCAGGAAATCCAATTCATTATAAAAAATTGTTATGACGACTATGTGATCTTTTGGTGACGGATTAGTGGAAGACAAACTGGAGATTCAAAATACTATGAATATATGAATACTATGAAAATATTAGCGCAAGGAGTGGGTTTGCGAAGATTGTTGAAACTCATAGTTTACTTAACGGATTGTTCTAGTACAAAATACTAGACAGTTGTTTTGTCCCAGGATAAGGCTCCTCAGTAGTTCGCATCTACGACTCTAGGGGTAAGATCCAGGACCTTAGGTCTAGTGGCAAGCTGTTAACTTTCAGATATCTGAGGTGGCACTCAATGATTTAGATATCTAACTTCAATCAGTTCATGATATTGTGTAACCGTCTTTCAATGGCAATAATGGACATGGTTGTAAACCGAAAAACAACCTCTACTAACTGACTGAATAATGATAAAAGTTGTCAGAATAACAATCGGATAAGTTGGAGAAAAAAAATAATAATCTACGTAAATATACCTTTAGATAACGTATTTCACGTAGATCTTGATCAGTTTGAAGGCGGTGGTGTACACGTTCAATTTGACGTCTTAAACGACCAGCTGATGGAATATCTGAATCATCTTCGTCAATTAAGTCAGCGAATTCTTCATTAGCATCATCATTGGGATCTAATTCATCTTCATCGTCCATGAAATATGCTCGTTCATTTTCATCACCAGACAATTCGGCTTCTTCATCCACAAAGTCGTTTATACGAAATCTAAAAATATATAATAATATTTATGTATAATATAAGTCTTAAAAACAGAATAAAAGCTTTAGACATTAAAATAACACAAACTTTCAATTACAAATACACTCCTCTTTGAATTCAGTCTTTTATCTTGTTTACTTATTTATTTATCTTCATTTAATGCATGCTGTGACATTTTTGATTCATTCCATATATAAAATGATATGTTTTCTTAATATACACAGACCGAAGACAGCATATAGTTGAATAAAATTTCTTCTCAAATCACTTACATGTACACACAATCTGTTATCTTAACACTTTCCGTTTCATACCACATATCTCGTACACATTAATGTAAATACCTACTTTAAACATTGTTCACGTTGATTGGATGACTTATTCAGTATACAGTAAACCAGAGAACCATGTACCTATTAATATTCGATAATTTTGTTGTTTGATTATATTTTCCTTGAAAAAGATTGGACCAGATTGCCAGGCGAAATGTTGGATTTACTTCAAATTCTTTCGCTGAGATTTTACAAATACATTCTTCCTGTTTAATGACTCACATTAACTCGGTGCCCAAATATTGTGAAACTATTCGTTCAAATTTAGACGAAAGTTCTTATATAAACTTTAAGCAAGTTGTTTTATTGAAACTATGAAATTATGATATCAAGCGGAATTTAAACAAATTAGTATTATTAAGCGTCAAAATGGTAAATCAAAATAAAGATAATTTTCTTTCAATTAATGTAGGATTCACAAGTTCAGTTGTTTATATTTAACATACAAAATATTCATTTACAAAACTGATTAGTTATTTCGTTTATTAATTAATGAAATAGGAACATAATAAGTGATGAACTTCAGTTTTTCAAGAAAACAGTATCATTGAGAGAAAAAAATATTTGCATAGGTTATAAAGTGCCCAAAAGTTACCTAGGCATTATTTATTTATTGGTTTGATTGTTGTATAATTTAAAGTCATAAAAATGACTCAGGTCGACCCCCCTAATTTTCTTTGCTACCAGAATTTTACTCGAGTCAAATAAAAAGTTTACTTAACTTCTTCAAATTGTGTATTGTTGAGACAAACATCCTTTCTGAGATGTGGCGGTCAGTCATAGCAGTGTAAGTAAGTAAACATTGAAACAAAGTAGATAACACTAAAACACTACAAATACTCATACACAAGGGTATGATGATCACCAATTATGTAAGAAATCTAAAAAAAATAACACATGACATGTTAAGTATCTGTGCAGGTAACTCAAAGGTGGAATTCTATCGGTATGAAAAAAAACTGTTGGCAAGACAGAAGAAAAGCATTTCACTTACTTTTTCTTTTTTTTAGTTTCATTCGACTGTATAGTTAGACGCTGAACTTCCTCTTCATCATCAAGATAATTGTCTTTTTCTTCCTCTTCATCTCTTTCCGAGGACTCGTCATCATCACTGCGATTATCTTCGTCAGTTATATCATCAGGATCAATATTTTCTTCATCATCTCCTGCTTCAATAGTATGATCATCTGATTCATCAACACTTGAGCTCTTATCCTCTAATTCCACATTATCATCTGTATGGAGTACTTCTGGTAAATTGTCACCAGTAAAATTAGATTCTGCAAAAGATATACATAAGAAACATGCAAAAACAAACCTGATGTGGACTTAAAAGGATTATTCCGTATGAGTGAAGCTGGTTCAATACAGCTATTATCCTTCTTTTCTTCATTCCCTTCTTCTTCTTCATCATCTTCATCAAAAACTAAAATTCGTCGACGAGATGAATTCTATGTATGGAGAATGAAACAGTGGTAGAGAGATTCAAATTTAAATAAAACTAAACGAACAGATTACGAGCATGAGGAGAATTAATACAAGCAAAATGAAAATTTAGACTAAAGAAGAACGTTAATAAAGATAAATCATCTGATATATTAAGGTTTACAGGTCCAAGAGTCATCTTAAAAAAATGTCAAGGTATTCATTGTGTTCATAACACTAAAGAATGCAGGAGGTTACAGAGATTGAAAATATAAGTAAGCGCCCTTAATTACATCCACATGGCATATATGGGTAAGAATGAAATAGGCATCACTAACCAATCCTATTGGTTATCATAAATTCTAGAGATGAATCTCTATGAATAATAACAGTCAATCTATTTAAGGACAGTAATTTTATAGAACAGGTTGGGAGAAATCACTTACTTGAGTCGTAAACACAGAAATAGGGTGCTCAGATTCCTGAAAGTCTGAAAGAGAATATAAACAATCATGAATTCTGTAATTCATTGTGATAATGAGCAAGTATTATTACTATTTAAGTTCTGAGTCACCTTTTTATGCTACATTAAGGTGGTCGCCACTAAGCGTGGATAAATCGGGATTCTCAAAAAGTTCATCTGTGACGAGAATAAGTCAATGCGAAACTCTTTGACTATGAAATTGTCACACATGAAATACTAGTTACTTTAATACTGTAAATGGGTCGAAGTAACATATGTCGACTTAAACGAAAATTAAATGGATTAAAAACTATTACTATTACTAGTTAGCCGATATAACATCAGCCCACTAATCTTATGATTGTTTTTCCTTTTTTACTCATACCCATATAGCAATTCTTCAAAATGACTAGTTGTCGCTAATTTAAGCAAATCAACATAACTCTTCTGTCTCTTGTTCTTACTATCAGTTCTATTAACCTTATAATCACTACAGGATTACCCGACTTACAACCATTTTAATGACGAAAGTATTAACGTTTACTCTTAGTTTTCAGGGTTTTTCGAATTATCATTATTGTCACAACCGTAATGTCAATGAAACTGATTCGCAAATACATTATGTAGATGGACATTACAAAGAAAAATCTTGCTTATTTTATTGTCATATAAATCGAACTTCTGCAGGATCATAGTGGATATTAATGAGTCATTATGTGCACATTTCCATCGTTTACATAATCAATTGGTTTTATTTAGGAAACCGCCGAAAACTAGTAGGCACTGGATAGCTGTTTCGTTTAAGTATGGGCCTCCTCTCAGTAGTGCATCTACGACACCATTGGAGAGGATCATACCCAGGACCTAAGGTCTCGAGACTACTGAGCTGCGGTCTGATGATGTGATATACATGCTCAATTTCAATGAACTTGAGCTATTACACGAACGACTTCCATTACATGTGGTGAGTAATTGACTTGCACCCGACACGGTTGAATTCCATGAATCAAACCTTTTAACTAGAACTTTTGGAATAACATCTCAAAGTTAGTCACTTGTGAGCAAATGAATATTTCAAATATAAAGGGTTTGTGGAGATTGTTGGCTTGTCATGGTTTATAAATATTGATCTCGAAACTGTAAAACTATATATTATTTCTTTAGAAAGTTATCGATATGTGAAAGCTGAAGAGCATATAGAATGGAATTCACTTTATTCTAAGACGTTTGTTAGCCTGTTTAACAAACCAGTTAGTACAAGTTATACCGAATCAACTGAATGTAAAAATTACCTGGATCATCATGATTATTTACAGCTGACTTTACACTTTCATTGACAAAGCCTTGTGATTGGTCACATGTAGACTCGCCAAATGGATTACGACAGTTTTCATGAGAATCTGTTCAGGAAGATTTATAAATAGATGATGAAAATTAGATAAAAGTAGCTTTATTGTTGCTGCGGGACATTTAAACTACAATTCAGTATACTTTAATTACAAACAAATAGCTAGAGTTATGATGAAGTATTTTTACGATTGTCTGCATTGTAATGTATGATATCCTATTGTTTTAGTGATCCTGAAAGGCGATTTGCCCATCCAACTGCTTCCATGTTTTAGTCCATTTTTCTAGTTATTAGAAATTAATGAACTAAAAAAACACAAAATAAATTGACAAGAAGGATCACAGAAAAAAATATCTAGTGAAACGAAAAGATAAAATCTATTTTTGACAGGATAAATGACGGTATTTTATAGTAACATGATTAATCTGTGACTAAATGTTACTTTATACTAATTCCCAGTAAAATGAAATACTTAAACTATTTGAAAATTACAACTGAAAAGGCAAATAACACTGCGAATATATGGAAGAAAACTTATCAAATTATCATATGATGAAGTAAAACATTATCATCATCGTTTTAGTTCAAAAGTGGAGATGAAATACCTGAATTATTACTATTGATAATTGAGTTTTTCACTTCATTTGTTGATTCTTGTAACGGGACACATATTGATCCGCTGAATAGATTACCATGCTTTTCATGTCGAATCTGGGAATCTATCGACAGAAAAACACAGACAAGAAAATATAACACTTAACTTCAAAAGTAAACCCAAAATTAAATACTTTCAAGAATCAGAAAAGCAGTAAGAAGAGTTAGTGAGGGAGAATATAACAAGGAGGTTTTCCATTAACATATTAAAACCCTTATCTCGTATTTACTGTTTTTAAAAATAGAATCCATTTAAATATGTGGAAAAACGATTAGACGCAAAAAACTGAACAAGCACAAACAAATACACCATTAAGAAGAGGTGGATCAGTGGTTAGGGTGTTCAACCACCAAGTACGTAGTACGAAACCTACTTCATTTATTACGTTTTGGCTAACCGGGCAGTAGTATCACTTAGAGTGTGACTTAAAGCCAAGTGCATGATTCTGTACCTGGTAAATAAATATCAATGAACAGTACCAGCTTCCGAAAACTTTAATAAGCCTATAAATGATAGTATCGAAAAATCGAAACGTAATTCAAAAATCGTATAATAAAGAACTAGAGGTGTGATGGATGGGAAGCAATTTTTATGATCCTGACAACCAACAGGAAATTGAAACGTTATATCAATAAAATCTCTAACAGGTTCCTTTTGTCATTAAATCTATGAAAGAATGAAGACTTAAGTGGATTAGTTTAGTGAAGAGTAATGCATATATCTAAGAAAAATATACACAAATTACCCAGATCATTATCATCAGCCAAACCCATGAAAGCTTGCGATTGAGTACCTATTGATCCTCCAAACAAAATACGATGATTATCGTGATTAGTTAGGGAATCTATGAAAAAAAACAGAATGTAGTTGAAATAACGATATAATTCATCTGAATCTTCAAGAGACGTGGGCATCTCATTGCCTTAAAGTGACATGGGAAAACAACGTTATCAACAACAAAAATACTCAATTGGTTTGGGATACTGTTTCAAACAGACCTAAAATGATCAGAAATGGTAATAAATTTAAGGAAGTGAATATTAGGTGATTTATGAAATAGTGTTAGCTACAAAAGGACTATATCAAACTGAAATGTCGAAACAAATTTACGGCATTCAACTCGAATAGTGAGACGTCGCCAAGGTCAGTATTTGGAAGAGTTATTATTGGATATAAGCTTTTGATCAGTGAGCATTATCTACTTTTCTGTGTTTATTCAGAATATGTAAAACATCCGTATATCTATATTAAATATTTAACTAATATATCCACGCAGTCAAAAATATTTAAATACCTGTTACATGACTACCTGTGATTGATTTTGTAGTCTCATCGATAAGTTCTTGTGATTGGTTATTGATTGATCCTCCAAAAAGATTACAACGATCGTTATGGAGAACCTGAGAATCTATGTACACAAACAAAACGAGTAGATTTAGCGAACAAAACAAGAAGAAGATGAAATAAAACATACTTACTCATACAAAAACTGTGATATTATAGAGTGCATTAGAAGGTATAAGCCAACGTACAATATACAGTGAAATGTATGAAAATAAGTAAACAAATAACAAATTGATCTAATTTTACAAGCTTCAGCTATTCACTGAAACTAATATGTACGTATTGATAATTTCATAGGATAAATGCTATCATGATTGTTAAAAAAAGCATAGGAATAAACAAGGAAATAGTCATTAAAGTAATTAAGTATCAATAAACTTCAGTCGTCAAGAAAATAGTGTACAACTAGAAAAAAAACAATGAGCTAGAATGAAATCAGAGATAAATTAAAGTTACTGATACAAATTAAAAAAAGATAAGTTAAATGAAGTTTAACACAATATACAGCTACCATTTATCTTAATAATCCTACTAATAATTGAGACAGTGAATTCAAAGGCAGACAAAATATCGGTAAATGTTATATGAAAATGTAATAATTAAGAGAAATGGTGGTTAATTCATAGAATAATATGTTTCCCTAAATGAGTTAAATTGTAATCGAACCAAAACAGAATTTCTGTAAAGTGAACAAAGAGTGATGTTGACTCTATTTTTTGTTTTGTTAGTTTTCATTGTACTAAGAAGATCAATTGTTGTTAAATCAGAGACCGCTATAATATAAGTTGGAACTGGTTTTCGGAACTGTTATCTATTATATTCTTGTTGTACTGAGTAACTAGAATACTATGTATATGTATTTCTTGAATCAGAATCTCTCGGTTAACCTATAAACTACTGTTATACGACTTACTATTCCTAATTGGTTGCCAGCCCCTACTCAAAACCACTTTTGATTAGTTTATATATCATTATTTAATGTAGTGTGGTCTTGTACGTCTGTGTAGAAAAATACGTCTGTTTGAAACATAGGGATTGTAGAGGCTGGGTGCCGCGTTTGAACTTAAAGGCAGGATATAGAGAGAAGTTTGTGAATGGTAAACTGATAAGAACTTAGCTGTCGATTCAGGTGTGTAATTGGTCGTGTCAGAGGCAATAAGCTATATAGTAAATAACAGATCAAATGAAGAGCAAGATTCTGATTGGTAGCTTATCACGTTGTTTCGTCAGATGGTTTCAAGGCATAAAAATGTCACTGCTGAGCAACATTCAGTCCGAATGAATTGGACTCGAAACACAGAGAGTTGATACCCCGTTTCCGACTAAACAGTTATCAAAAACTTTCGTGGTTTCTCATCAGCTGCTTACAACCAAATATGTATTTGAATTTTACATTGAGGTAAGATATAATGTGGAACAATTGACATAAATGAATGTTTTATTTCAAACACCTTTCTATATTTTAACAAAGTACAGGATTGATTATCCCCAAGAATTCAAAACTACATATCGCATAGCAATGGTCAAAATGAACGATATTTAACCAGTCAACTCAGTGAACCCCATCACTACCCAGTCAGTGTGATACAGTTTTTCACATATTGTAAATAACAAAAGCATTACTACTAGTAAATATGCATGAATACATAAAATGAGCGGTGCATGAAAATGGTATCTCTACATATAAGGAATATTAAAGAACCAAATAAGATAAACACCTATATCACCATTCTCATCAAAGGATTTAGTTGTGACCGGATCCACAACTACTTGAGATTTGTCACACATCGATCCACCGAAGAGATTGTGACGATTTTCATGGTGAACCTGAGAATCTGCAAAAGAATATGGAAAGAAAAGAATATGAAGACACATAGTGCATGTACCAATACAATATTTTTTAAAAAATTAACTAAACATGCATACAACCGAGCGACATTTCCATTCATTGGCTTCTTAATATCAGTCAGTCAGCTGCAACGTAGGACCAGGCACATATACGCATCGGTACAAATCGCCATACCGCAAGATGAACACAGGATTCATAGAAGTACTTAATTCAGTGGTGGTAATATATAAAAGAAAGTTTGCATATAAAGACATAGTACAGGAAGAAAGATTTAGTACGTAGAAAGAAAGATATGGAGTGATTTTAATCTCACGATTTAAAGGAAGACAGAAAGTGTATACACCCATGCTACTGTGATCGATTCTGAGCCATGTCACCAAGAGTCTCCAACCATTGGTTACGATAGTCACGCGGACCCCAACCAAGTAGTCTGCATCTACCAACATGGCTCAGACCAGAAGTTCGTGACTTCAAGCACTGATGCCACGTTTTGGTTTGGCCTCCCCTAACTTTCTTCCAACCATCCGCAACACTACTCAGCATTGCACGTTGTGGTAATCGATGGTTAAGCATGCGTAATACGTGGCCCAACCATCTCAGTTGATGAAGATTCACAACCTCATCAACTGATTTACCAACATTCCCTAATACCCTGAGTCTAACCTCACTGTTACTCACCGGTGATCCCAGCAGACGCCAGCAATATTTCTAAGACATCTGTGGTCAAATATTAGTAACTTACGAGTGTCTTCTACCCTTAATATCCATGTTTGGCAGTCATAAAGTAGAACAGAACGAACTGCCGCACAGTCTACTCGTCGTTTAATTGATAGACGGATATCTCGCCTTTGTCATAAGTGACGTAAGTTGGCGAAAGCCAAACGAGCTTTTCGAATCCGTGCTGAGATTTCGTGAGACACCAACCCATTAGGGCTGATCAGAATTCCAAGATAAATGAAGTTATCAACGCGTTCGACTACTTCACTCCCTATCCTTAATTCGGGTGTTGACGCAGATCAGTCCTGAAGCAACAACTTGCACTTAGAGGGAGAGAAGCGCATTCCAAACATTCTGGCATTGTTGCTTAGTGCTACCAGAAGACTCTGCATTTTATCAGCGTCTTCACCAAACAGGACTATATCATCTGCGTATTCGAAGTCGATAAGTGGACCTCCTGGATGGAGATCAATACCCGAGAATTCAGTCAACCAGAGTGTTATTTCCATCAGTAGGTCTATGATGAAGTTAAACAAAAATGGAGAAAGTGGACAGCCTTGACGGACACCACTTGAGGTTACAAAAACAGATGACAGTTCGCCATAAATTTTGACTGGACTGGTAGTGTTCGAGTAAAGAGCCTTCACAAGGTTTATGTACTTCTGAGGTACGCCTTTCAATGACAGACACTGCCACAGAATCTCGCGGTCTACGGAGTCAAATGCTACTTTTAAGTCTAGAAAGACCACCATTGTCGGACGCCGATAGGTATGCCTGTGTTCTAGAACCTGACGAATGGTGAATATTTAGTCAATGCATCCACGACCAGGTCTGAAGCCAGATTGATTCTCTCGTGTTTGCAGTTCACGAGTCTTAGTTAAGCGTCCGATAATTATCGAGGCTAGTACTTTAGATGCTTTTTAATGAAACTATACAGTATCAAGGTTATGGTACTACTGAGAAATATGGAATCAGTACTGATCTTTTGTTTCCTCAACAGTAATTTGTGCATGATTACAAATTGTAAATTTTCAGATGGTATGCTATTTTTATAGACAATGTTATCAATAAAAAAATTATTACTACCGAAACACAAGCAAATTCATACAAACAGTCATTCATGCTATAAGAATATGCAACACAGGGTTATGTCAAATAAATTAGAAAATTTTAGGACAATGAAGTTAAAATACCAGCATTGCTGTTTTCGACACTTGACTTTGTAAGGATGTCCACAAACAATCCTGACTGGTCACTCACTGATTCACCGAATAGATGACGACGGTTTTCGTGGAGAACTTGTGATTCTGTATTTATGAGAAGTAAAACAAAACACTGAAGAGGATAAAAGATCAACACATGAATACTAATGTTACATAAACATGGTAGTGCACCATAATCATCGTAAATATTTATAAGTAATGGCCTGAAGGTTAAATCATTTGACTTTGACAAATAAGTTTGTAATTGAGAACACGAACCGACGTTATATTACCATTGGAGACCTGGATGCACTGAACGGCTGTTTCATCTTAGCATGGCATTCCTCAGCAGAGCTCACCTACGACTCCGCACGTGGGATTCGAAACCAAGACTTTCGATCTCGCGCGGACGCTTGATTTCTAGACTACTGAGGCGAGATTTAACAGTGTTGGTGTCTAACTTCAATTAATCCACGACATTGCGCAAGTGTTTCCCATTGTCTTCGGTGTGTCGCTGCATCACACCCAACATAGTTGAACTCCATTGGTCTAAACCCGGCTGCGCCTATGTCAATTTTAAAAGTCAAATCGTACGCTACCCCGTACAAAAAAAAAAAACGAAGCTAAGTACACAAATTCATATTTTGTAACTACGGTATATTAACTAATAAATTAATTTTCATTAAGAAAATTAAAAAATATCAAGAAGGTATTCTATACTTTTCGCCTTCAGTAGTCAAGATGTTGTTTTAATCACAGTTATGGCAGAATAAGTATACCATCGAAAAAAACACTTAATGTGTTCATATAGGGTTCAGTGTGATAAAAATATATTTGACACTAGCATGTGTACGTCACAGTTATATGTATTTATCGTTAAACGATAAACGCAATAAAATACGATAATTACAAGATATTTTTCATATTTAACAGATAAACTTTATGAATTTGGACAAGGAGTAGTGAAAACTGACTGGGATCGTTGTGGCACTAAAGATGAGCATAAATCAGTTAAGAACGAACTAAAAGTTACATAACTTTAAAGGTCGATTACTCTTCAATCTGTACAAATTTACTTGTAAAAGTGACTTTGTATACGATTATGAAAGATATGTAATGTAATGAAGTAAAGTCAATGAAGATGATTCAAAATGATAGGCTCAATACATATAATGATACTATAGATATGTATAAAACGGTTATAACTCACGAAGACTTGAATTCGTTTCCTCAGATATTATAATCGTAGGATCTAGCTGAGATGTTAGTTGAGTTGGTTCTTGAGATAATAAGACCGTGTCCTGAGATGATATATTATGAGGGTTAGCTAAAAAGAAGGAAATATTGATGAACAGAAGGAAACAATTAGAAGACGAGGTGAATACAGCTAAAATGACAAAAATTAATTTATTTTTTGTGGAATAGTTCAAGAGTTTTCCCGAAAGGAAAAAGAACATTATTTCTAGGTTATGTTACAAAGAACATATTTCTGTTTATCTCCTAATCTAACCACACCTATAGCTCTTCTAGGGTTACTACTGGTCCCAAGCCCAGATAAAGGAGGGTTAGGCATAGGGTCAGCAACCGCATCTCGTAGAAAAAGTACCTTACTAAACCACGATAACCTGAAAAAAAAGTTTAAACTATTCAAACTCTGTCATGGGAGTTGAAGGGTCACCACGCAGAAGAATCATTATGCCTAATAGTGAAAGACAAGATTCTTTGAAAATCATGAGGCCGGTGCTCCTTCTGATAACTAAGGTGCAATTCATAAAGGCATTTGGAATATGAGAGACCAGGAGCACCAGTCAAATAGTTGCATGAATGAGAAGAGACAACTTAGCGGTTCTCTCAATAAGTGAAACCCATTTAACCTAAGCTGAACAGAGAAGATAAACATTGGGAGAAGTGCTAATTCGTGTCAGATGTGAGCCAGTTACTCACCGCAAACAATGGAAGATGGTGGTACAATGCTGTGATTTGATTGAAGCTAGTAGTTAACATCGTTGGATGTCAACTCAGTGGTCTAGAGATCAAGGGTTTGCACGCGAAATAGAAAGTCCTAGGTTAGATTCCAGAGTGCGGGATCACGGATGAGTTCCACACTCAGAGGAAATGGCAGTTCAATGCTTCCAAGTTTTCAATGGTGGTCTAACTTAGATCGGTTAGTGATTTCAGTGACATATATTAGATATTGTATAACAGATGAACTTACACGTCATTATATGATTGTCATCAGTGGACTCTTGAGTGACAGACTCTGATCTGGAAGCTACTAACAAAATAAAATACAAACCAATAATGGAACAGCTTTAACACTTTAGTCCACAGTTAATATAAAGAAAGAACTTAAAAATAATTAAGCTCTATGCAAAACTCATTTCGGCGAGACTATAATTTATGGACGAATCAATCAGGTATAAGATAGGTCTCGGATTGTGGCGCGAAATTCACTTATCCATTTGGCAAAATAGTTTTGGCATTATAGCTGGTGTCAGTTCATGATGAAGACCCTAAATATAATTCCTAACCTTAACCATCAACTGCAAATCACAACTCAAAGTCCTCACACAGGTTTATAACCTTCACTTGGTCCTAGTTATTAGATGGACACTATATCAAGGTCAGTCCAGCGTCGCTCAAAGGTCCTTCATAAATTATAGTCTCACCCTTATTTCAAATAAGAATTCCTTCAAATACTTTTATGCTAACCACTTAAAGCACAATGTTGAAATTTGATGACAATTATATTTCTTTCTATTTCAGAAAAAAATGCTTCTCTGAAATTATGAAGACTAATAAATATGAAAACTAATGAATCGGTTATATCAATGAAAATTATTTGAATAAACTAACGATGATTAAAAATAGAAATCTTGCAAGGCTTACGCAATTGACTGTTTGGCTTTTGAGAATACAGTAATTCATAAGGTGTATTATTCCATTGACTATGAGAAGATGAATTACGGGTAAATCGAGACTTGTTTTCGTCCTAATTAGAAAAAAAAATAACAAAGTTGACCTTCTGGATGAAGGAATGAGTTTGAAAGAAATTTATCAACTTAAGCTAATCAGACATAACATTTACTAGAGTCAGAGTAGGTTAGTTTAAAACCTTTGTGACTATGTTACTGAAAGAGACATGTTTTCGCTTGATATCAGATACATTCTATTGAACAGTGATTAGAAGCATAAAGTTTCGTTCATTCGAAACTTTCTTTCAGATTCAGTAAAATACGTAAAGATAAGTATTATTACCAACATTCGACTTAATAATTTCAAATTCACAAATATATCATAATTTTATCAATAGACAGGTAGATGATTAGTGCATTGGGTTATGATGTTACTGAACATTGGTAATACCAATCACTAGTTGTACCACGCAGCTTTCATTTTTCAACTACAAAAGTAAAATAATCCTTTGTAGATTAATGCTGACTAGTAATTTAAATGACTAGTTTCACTAAAACAAATTTTTATTTATTATACAGGATAAGACTTAAGGATTTATTTTCAGTTTAGAAAAATAATGTTACATAATTAGTTAAGTCAGGTTTAGTGTGAAACAAGAGAAACACAAGATATACTTACACCGATGGTAGTTCCATCTAAACGAGTAGAGGCCAATATAGACTGAGGATTCATAGTTCCTGGCAAAAACGTTAGAAAAAATTGCTAAGTAAACACCGAGCATACAATGAAATTAAAAAATTGGAATTGTATCAGCAGAGAAATTAATATATATATATATATATATATATATATATATATATATAAAGCATCTCTAACATTTTTAAACTAATTTTTTCTTCTTCACCGTAAGAAAACATGTAGAATGATTCTCATGGTTTGAGTGACGAACTGATCCTTAGCTAGACCACCACTGGAAGCTTGTATGCAGTGGACGATCGAACCCAGAACTTCTGGTCATATACACTAGTCGGTACCGGGTCAGCCGTCTAAGGTTCAGGGATTTGCGTGCGAGACAGAGGGTCCCGCGTTTGATTCTTGGATGGAGGACAGTGGATGCGTACTGTTGAGGAGTCCAGTACTGGGACGAAATGCCCATCCAGTGCTTCCAGCTAAGACCAGTTTTGATTCAAAAAATGAGAGTTCCACGACCTCCACAAATCCCCTTATAGTGATGTAAAAAAAACACAAATATTTTGATTACCTGAAATGTTTATAAGGTCTAAGATATAAAATTTAGAAAATAATACTACTCAACTTTTTATCATAAATGTGAATTTCAAACTACACTACGGTCAATAATAGATACAATAAATGTATGCTTTCTAATACACCCTTCGATTAATTAGAACTGACAAACAATAGATTGGGAAAAAGTTGAATATCTATCCACCAACAAAAGAATAAAATTGAATTAACTTTACACAAAATTAGTCGCCAATCGGTAGATAAGGTAGTGGATCTTTGTCGACTAAGATGGTTATGATATATGCTAAACATGCCTAACCACCACCTACATTAATACGCAACATTTCCTGGTGTAGAATAGGTTGGAGTAAAGTTAAAGGCAATCAAACCAAGAAACGTGGCATCGATTTACGAATTTATTGACTGTTGAACTGAAAATAATACAGATTGAGTAAACGATTAGTAGAGATAATCTATAAGAAAGACAAAATGATTATTAATTACTTACTGTCTAGAATACTAGAACATTCAGATGCGAAAAGGTCTATATCAGCAGGACCTAGAGTTCCATGATGTCTTTGTGGAAGACTTAAACTGTAACCATTATTGCAAGCTACAATAAACAAGTGACGATGAACAAAAATTAGATGAATTAAGGAAATAATGAAAATTGGATGAACTGTATTAAAACTAGAAAGAATATTCTGGAAGTGAAAATGCACATTACTTCTGGTAATAAAAGCAAAAACACTTAATTGTTGAACAATTACGATACATTATACAAACTTAGTAACACTAAACAAACTGAATGAAAAGAGAAAAAGGACTATACTTGAGCTAATAATTTTTTGGAATGAAACGGTTACCAATAAGTTTTAAAGTATCATTATCACGGTTAGACTTGATCATTTTAAATAAACTGAGTATTGGGGAGAATGTTGATAATAAAATAATGATATTCCAATGATTAGAAATTATAATTTCTGACGTTTCGTGACTAATCGTAAGCCACTTTTTAGAGTAAATATATAACTAAATTAAATTAATATAAGTTTAAAACATTATCTAATGGAGTGTAGATATTATAAATGTAATTACTACAGACAATTACGAAAGTGTGTGATGAAATTACTTTATTATTGAGATTTATTTAAAGACAAACAAGGACAATTGGTTTGTGAAGGTTTACAGATATTTACTTTCCATTAAGTACGGAACTAGAAGTATGGCATTTCAAGCAAAGCTGAACGGATCATACGCTGTCTTAAAGGCATACTGTAAGAAAGATATAAGTTTGGTGTTTTATTAGAAATAAATGAAATTTTGATCTAGTCCGCATGCTACTCTCACTCTGGCAACTTACGTAGTCGTAATTCCTTCGATTTTGCCCGTTTAAGATTCTTTCGTAGTCTTGTTGTCCTACATAAACAGCAAAAGTTGAAGTGAACAACAGAGCAAAAGATAATAGTCGGTTTAGCGAATTGATCGAAGTTCAGAATGGTTTATAACTCCAACGTTGTTTATGTACTCTAATATAAACAATCCAAATTGCTATAACTGCTCTAGGTAAAGCAAGCTACAAACAGAGTAATGACTGTTGATGAGATGAGACATGATTTCACACATACAGTGTTGAGTAATAAAGTTGTTCTAATCAGATATAATAATTTTACCACAACCGAATCTACAGAGACCTAATAGCAGAATAGAGGATTAGAATATCACACAGAACAATTTAAAGACTAAGTTGATCGTTAACAACTTTACAAAATATCTATAAAATCATCTACATGATTTTAACATACCGAATGATTAACTGTAAGTGAAAATAAGTCAGATATGCTAGAGATAACTCACTGTGGAATAATTAAGCCTAAAGGTAAAGATGAGATTTTTAAGACTGTGAAAAAATAAACCATAAAGATAACCCAAAACACTATAAAACATTTAAAAGACATACATGAAAAAAGTTTAAACCCTGAGCTTTCCTGTGGTAGATCTGTGAAATCATCCAACTGCAGATGTTGTTTCTGAGGGGTGTGAGACCTGACAATCTAAATATAAGTGAACAAAGAGAAAGAATAGAGAAAACACTTCAAATAAATTATAAAGGAAGTAACTGAATTCGACTACCTTCAATATTACTACTTTTTTTCCATTATCAGTAACGGGTTTTTAGTATAATAGAAAAAAAGTATCGACTTTATTTATAAGTTCATTCTTTTCTCAATAGGATGGTTGACTGAAAAAGTCGTAAATAAACCATAAATTTTAAACGAAAGTAATACGAATTGGCTGGAGTTACAAATGTGAATTATTGAATCCCAATTCAGTGGTTTAAAGGTTGAGTACCTATTGTACGACCTGTAAGCCCTGTGTGTTCGATCGACGGTGAGGTTGTGCATGAGGACTGTTGAGGGATTTCATACTAGAACGAAACAGCCAACCGGTGATTCCTGTTCTTTAATGGTTGTCTAACGCAACTCATTCTGTAGTGCGGGACAACAAAATAACTAAGTTGAGGATAAATTTTCGAAGACAGTCTTTAAAAAACTAACAAACGAAGAAATTAATGATAAGGCAGTGTTAAGTAGTCTAAGTATGAAAAATAGTAGTATGAAAAAATGTAAGCAGAGTTCGAACTGGTTTCCTGTTAGTTGGCAAACAAACATTCACATTCTTTAACAAAAGTTCCAAAGGACTCGAGAAATACTACGTTGTTAGTGCAGTCAGCACATATATACCATTTACATAAATCAGTTGTCTAATGATAATCAATGATATCTACTTGTGCTAAATACTGATTAAATTATTATTGTCTTCAATCACTCAATACTGAATACAGTCCACGACTGTATTACTATTTTGTTACTATTTTTGACTTGACATGTAGAGAAATATGGGTTCTGAAAAAATCTAAGTAATCTCGCTTTAAAATAAAAACAGTGGCAGAGAACCACAAGTAACGTTAGCTTCCCAAAGGTCAAAGATGTTTTATATAAGTAACTCCTAACTGAAAATTGATTGGCACTAATGATTCATATATTTTGTATACCACTTTAATGCACTCAGTATGCAAAAACATGACCCATAACAAAACATTTGTATTTCAGGAGAGTTACATCCTCTGAGTGAAAACCTATCATTTTTGTACTAGAAATAATCTTCAGTAATTAAAATGAAGCGTGTGCAAGTGAATGACATAACTAAAGCACTTCTGTCATATTTTGGCCTCTGATGTATAACGCTAATAGTCATAATCGAATCGAGAATCGAAATTTCCAAGCAGTATAATGCTCACAACAATTCAGGTAAAGACACACGAAATCTAACGCGTAGTCAGAATCTAAGTAGGTGCTCACAAGAGAGTGCGAATGTTTCTACCACTCAAATTACCAAGAAATATAACTACATTAATAAGTTTCGGACAGGTTTGGACTAACGGCAATAATTTGCGGATGAGAGAAATTCAACAATGCACTAATTCATTTACGCAAATAAAGCTTAAGTTTCAAAGTTGTGCGTAAAACGACTTTCTTAAAATTAGATACTCAAAGAGTATTTTCTAGCATTATTTTTCCTAACTCTAACAAATATTTTTTAATAGTTGAGATCATGAGTCAATTGGTGCTAGACCGCCAAGGAAAACCTAGAAGCACGGGAAGTATTTTTTTAATTTAGTACAAAGTAGTAAACGTTTAAGTAGGATTATAAATTTGTGAGTAATAGCGGGAGAAGTTGAAATATATGAAGTAAAACATAAATACAATAGCAGTATATATTCATGTTTGACATCAACAATACTTTAGAGGAATATCAGACCAAAATTTGAATTAAATGATAAGAATAGGTGAATTCATTCAGGGGACGTTGATGATAAGCATCATAACACATAAAAATAAACTGATCTATATTACTAAGCAGGTAACTACTAGATCATATAATTACTTAGATCACATAAAACAAGGTTAAGGTCCTAACTAAATAAATGATTTATGAAAAACCGATTCACAAACAAGACGATTTACATTTTTTGCAAAATCTATGTTTAGATTATTGACACTAATAGTTTTACTGCAAGATTTGTTTTGTTTTACACCCGCAGAATCTTTACATGTTAGAACCTCTTCATCTTCAAGATCATTGGCGTCTGAAAATACTTCGTCATTTTCACTTTCTTCTGCTTCATCATCAGCAAAGAGACAAGGACGCTGTCTTGAAGCCTTTTTGCTACCGACCACTACATTGTCATCTTCCTCATCGTCGTCAAGTGACTCACTTCCTTCTTCTTCTTCTTCTTCGCTTTCACCATCACTACTATTTTCTTCCTCGGTAGTTGAGTTTCCATCGGATATTTCACTGTCATTTGCATCTCCTTCTGACCATTCTTCGTCACTATTGGATACTTCCTATAAAAACGTAATATATTATGAACAATTATACAGTAGTAAGAAAACCAACTAATTCCTTATTGACTAGATAATTACTCTGAAAATTTTTTAGTTCGATAAGAATATATTGTAAACAGAGAAATTAGATAAAAACATATCTGACGACAAAAAAACAAAATAAATATTGAAATATGATGTAATAATACAATAGTCGAATACAATTATTTTTTAGTAATGCCACCATTTGTGATGTCTTCGCATTAATAAACACAATCGCTAGAATAAAAGTTAATGAGGAAGCACAATGGATGTCTTAATAAAGAAAGTAAAATAGATCAGGCAATAAAAGTATTCATTAAAGATGACTGACTACTTCTGAACTAAATACTCTTATCTGATGAAGATCTTGCTTTCGATACATTCATTAGAAAAAAAATTGTGATAAGATTATTGTTTATGAGTACTTTTGTATGAACAATTTCTATTGATTTCTATTTGATTGTACAAAAAGTCAGTAATGAGCAAGTTAATGAGCTATTTTCTGTTACAATAATTCTGCTTATCTGACTGTAACTTTTGTGTTTATGTAAGATTATAATTTGTCAGTATGAAATAAATAATCATCCATTTTCATTTATCAGTTTAGATTGAATGTAATGCAGTGGAAAGCTAAAAAGGTAACTTTTGTATTGTTAAAGATATGTGTACAAAGACTCCACTGTTATCGGATGATTTCATTGAAATCAACTTTCTTAGTTACAAGAGGTAACACCTTACATTTGGGACAGTAGTTCGAATACGCGTATTCTAGTATCAAATACATACTATTAATTAATTAACCGCTGAATAATAGTCCGAAGACCTCATGCAAATTAGTGACTTATATGCAGACGTGGATAATGGCTAGCAATGAAATCGAGGATGAGCGTTTAATCCTAGTTGGGATTCGTCAGCTAGGTTTACCTGTGTATCCAAGAGTTGATGCTTACTACAGAATTCAAACCCAGTACCGTTTGTTTTAAACGCCATCGTGTTATCTACCTAACTATTGAGTACAGATAGCCAACGGCTTGTGCAATGGGGTAAAGTTTAATTCATTTGTATTGATTTTTTTAATCTTCCCACAGAAGCGGGTACATCTAACTAACGGATTCAAATAGGAAAAAATGCAGGTTCTGGATTCTACTTCTAACCACCATACACTTCCGCTTATAATAGTTGTGACTTGATGGCAATATCGAGACAATCCGCACAGGATCCAAATATGACAAAAAGAGGCTGATCATTTGCAGTCCTTAACATCCATGGCAGGATTCAAACAACTTACACTTCTGGAAAATTTCAAAATTGGTAACAGTATTTAACTCATAAACAAAAAGGATTAAATTAACCTACGACCAAATAGTTTGAGTTCTAGAGTGGATAACTCAATGGTGACGTCTCTTGGCTGTGAAGCTGGGTAGTACAAGGTCGAATCCCAAATAAAAATCGGTTCGTGTAGTATCGCAGGTATACTTTACTGATGAGTGCTAAATAGTACGAAATCTAGGTCGACTACTTCCCAACCACCATCTTACAACTTAAGATATTCAACAATTAAAACATTAAAAAAGAATATAATAAACGCAATACAAATAACATTACAATCCAAATACTACAACGAACCCCAGTATTTTCATTTGTTGACTTTGGACATGTACCCTCTTCCTTTAACCGCATTTCATACTGCTCTAGTCGTTTTTGACGCATTTTTTCTTCGAGGACTTTTCTGTGTTCCAACCAATGTTTTCTACTAACTGACATAGTTGTTGATAATCCTTTGGATGGTTCATGTGTAACTGTTTCTACCTGCAGTTCTTCACGTTCAGCGTCAGTGCTTTGTACCTTAATATGAATAAAATTATAAAGCCAATAGACATGCTGAATTTGGAGAGAAGAGAATGTAAATGCGCATGGAACAAAAGTCAACGTATTGTTATACAAAAAAGATTGATTGAACGAATAAACACTGCATATATTTTATATCTGTTCAATCCATGAGTTTAACTACACAATAGAGAATAGTTCGAAAAAGTTATGTATCTCCAGTTCTTACACTCTTCAACAAGTACATAAAAAATACAGACATAAAGATCAAAGAACTTGCAATGAACGAGAATGAAGAGGAGTATCGTGTAGTGATGTTAAAATATGCAACTTTTGGACCAAAACCCCGGGTGAATATCTCTGAGTTAATGAAGATAATAGGAACAATAACAACAAAACACCTTGAAATCAGCCTGCGAACAATTATACTTAGTTATATTGATATTAATACATGAGGACAAAGTTTACACGGATTCTACTTATACTAAAAACATTTTGAGTCCAGGTCATGATGAGTGGAATTTCAGTGTTACCTATCTCCAAAAAAGTAAAACAGTTCGCCGACCAAAGAACATCTGACCGAATTTGGTATTAAATTGGGAAGTACTATTATTATGAATTTAGGGTAGTTTGAGTATAAGCAATATTACACCACACACAGGACTATAAGATTAACTATATGAGTCGTACATTACTAGTGGCTCACTGCCAGGGCTTTATGATACAATTTTATACAGACCGATGCATTTTTCTGGTAATTTTCTACGGAGTAGCTTAATAAACTCGTTCGATGTTAATTAGATCAGTATCAACGGATACTCCAATTATTTGTTACTATATTTTTGTTAACCGTTTTGACTGTATTGCACTACAGTAATCCCACAAGAAATCAGTAGTACAAGTGAAAAAAAAAATCAGTTTGGGTTAGGACTCCTTAAAAATAATCACACGTAGTACATTCAGAAATAGTACTCAAAACCATACAACAACCATGATATTACTGAAACACTGAAAATTGGTATTTTTTACGTTTAATTAATTGATCAGATATATTAATCGTTTCTTTATTTGGGAGCAACCATCCTGACGGATTGAACTATTTTGGTTTGATAGAATTCACTGAACGTTGCTTTGTTCATAAACCACTACTTGATATAGACAAGCGCGTAGTTTACTCTTGAGAGCGTAAAGACTAGAGGGATTTAAAATTAGAACTACAGTCATGCACAGAATTTGGGAATAGTAAAAGAAATCTTATAGTGATATGTCCTCATACAAATACATAGGACATACCTTTGTTATGATTGAATATTGGATGGGTCCACGTACAACTTTTTCATGAGACACGTGAAGATGAGATTTTAAACGAGCTAATAATTGACTAGGAGTTACAGATGACATTGAAGTAGGGATTGATTCACCTTGGAAAAGTTAGTGTACAACAAACAATGAAGAAAGAAGTTATTTATGATGATATAAAAGTTGACAAGATCATTCGCAGAAAATGAGGTGAGATAAAAGAAAGCTTGGGTATGAATAGGCTTTAAAGCAGTATGAACTGTTATAGAACTATCTAATAGACACATATTGTAGAGAGTAACCTATATATGAACTTTCTAAACCAACTTTATAAAGTTTCATCGAAGTAAGGTCCACTCACCTTTACATGTATACTTTGAGAGGTACTTCAAAATATTCTAATAATTATGATCTAGAAGAACACGTGAGAACTAGGCTTTAACAATAGACATAATGCTGGTAGATAAATAACTGGATAGAAATAAATTAAAGAGTACAAAACTGACACTAGGTAAAATTGAAAAAAGAACATCTATTCCTACCTAAATCTATGAAAAATTCTTCACTTTCATCATTTTTCAATTTCCTCGCAGCAAGGCGAGGTAACAGACTGGTTATTACATCTGGTTCGCTTGTAACATCGAGTGATGGTTTGGCATCAGATGACATTGATGGTGGTTCCAAAGTGGTGCAATCAATGTCGACAGGATAGTCGGCTGAACAACATTGTGAGACGAATGGTTTGGTATCCATTTTATTTTCAGTCTCTTCATTTTGGGTAGATTGTCCTGGAATTGGTGGAAGATGAGAGTTACAATCGGAAAGTAATCTGAAATAAATAAAACAAAGCACAATATTCATATTTTGCGCTGTTTCGTAAGAATCGTATTCTATCTAATAATATGATCGGAATTTTTTTCTAGAATTAAGTTACACCGTAGTTGATACTCATCATGATTAATAGACCGATGATATCACTAAGCCCATGAAGAAAACATGACCAAATATCGAAGACGTGTAAATTTGTTTCTTCCTATGGTTAAAGCAACTGAAGGTTACTTATTTCGGGTTCGAAGAACAGTAAAAAAGTGTCATCAGGGCGTTCAGTAAGACTGACCAAAAGTTAGATAGTTTATATCTATGTATTCCTCTATTATAGAATTCGAAAATTTGAGATCATAATTCTAAACCTTTTATTTATAATTGCTTTATTTAATAGTGTTTATTACACTAGCGAATTTTCGCCAGAAGATATTGTGACAAGACTCATTTAATGTGCGTTTACAACGTTCATATATATGCTTTTAAAGTTACTTTTAATGTTTTGTTCTTACTATCTCTTTCCTCTACATAAATTAATTTTAAACATGGCAACTTAAACGAAGAAACCAATGTAAGATTCTACATTACTCAAGTCAATAATAACCTGTCGAAAAGAAACATATTTAAAGGGATACTTTATTGAGAAACATGAGTGATTAGAGATCAGCCACGATTTGACCATGCAAAGTCTAAGTATATTTTGTTCAAGATAGCATCGAAACAAGTAGGGAGTACCGTAAACCAACTCATTCATTTAGCATATAGTCTTCATTCAATATAACACTAGGTTAAACAGTCATGCAATGTACCATCACTCGAAATAAAACCGAATACCAGAAACTGACAAAAACATTATAAGAATATATGTAGGATATGTTGTTTGATCAACTTAACTATTTACCTCTATAGTTTCAGATTATTTTTGTATCAACTTGGTATTGATAGACAGGACCAACGCTCCCCTCTACGTTCATGTACGAGCAACACATACAACTGCTGGACGACTAAATCAACAGTCTAAACATTACTTAGTAATTTATTGAGCCATAGTTGGGTATCACCAACAAATATGTGAAATTATTTCAGATGTTCGTTAAGCTTTTAGAACTGTTATACCCAGGCTAGAGAGGTTCGATTTCTTAACATGATGTAGGGGATTGACATTCATCATGTCAAAGTACGGAAATTATGAGAAAGAGCCCTAGTGTGAATAAGTGTCGCATTATGTCAATCATTAAGTGTTAGTGGGATAGAATTTTGACGATAATCAGTCCACTGTCAACTAATAAGCGCTAGGGGAAGAATAAAAAAACTATAAATTTCCCATATAAATTCCGTACAGGCATGTTTTTCTGTGTTGTTGTTCCAGTTTAGTGGAATATATTTTATATTTAATTCTTTCTACTCTGGTCACAATCATCAACAAATCTCCCACTACGAAATTGGACTTTTTACTCTAGTTACCTGAGCAGGAAAGAAAAGGATAGAAGTGGTCTCGTTCATCGTACTCAAATTGGAGTTACAAAATATTAGTTTAGTGCCCAAACATATCAGTAACAATAAGTTTTACATTAAACACCAAATATTTGTTCATAAGACAATAAAGATAACTCAACAAATTCAGCACATGAAAACACTCCAATATAAAAGACTTACTTATTCTGAGATGAGGTTTCACAACTTTCGGTTTCATTTGACTTGCAACCTTTTAGAGACTGACGAAACTCACTGAAACATTTAAATTGTTTAGGTCTGTGGACTGGTAAATGTACATCAGCTTCTACAACGTAAACAAACAAAAGTAACTAAGATGTCTAACCGACCTCGTACAAGTCGTTGTGATTCACTATGGATTTGAAGTCTTTCTTCTTCTATGTTAGTTGGTTTAGAATGACTTATATTGCGCCTGCCAGATTTACTTTTAGATACCTTTTTAGCTGCACCCTAAAAAATTACAATTGCTTCTAAGAATACTTACAGAGCTGAGTGTCCAGCGACCAACTTTTTCTTTTGTTTCTTCAATATCATCTTTAATAGTCCATAACTCATTATTTTCATCCAACGAATGTATTTGATTTGAAGGTGGAGAATCAACATTGTTATCACACTCATCACTTAATTCACTGTCGACAAGATCAAGTGGTAAGATCTGGGAAATGAATAAGGTAGATAAATAAATTGCAGGAATAAAATTAACTACAAAGAATATGATTTTATGCCTAACAATACAAACTCTAAGTCCATCCAGTTGTTTATAATCAATGCAGAGTCTTAAACAGGCATGTGCTGTCCCAACTTTAAATTTCTTCCTCATCGTAGTTAGATGGGATTAACAAAACGACATATACTGGCTATGATATCACGACCATTTGGCTTTTAAGTTTTATTAAGGGGAAAAGAGGACTTATATACGTAAAATGGTAAGTATGAAAGTTTATTAACGGAGGAGACAGTTTCATACGAACATTAAAAGGACAAAACACCTTTGTATAACAGATCAGACCCTTGCTGGGCATCAAATATCTAACTTCTGCTTTTCACTACATACATTTAAATTTTAAACTATCTAGGTTAGATATTCCAGAAGAAATCTCTGGGTAATCAACTGGTGCAGTAGTGCTTCCAGGACCACAACCACAATAAGTTGATTGCCGTAACGTAGAACCTAGTATATGCGGTAAGGTCAAGTATAAATAGTTGAAACGGATTTCTTTATCGATCAGCCTTAGGTTTATCCCTTTTAGATGAAATCATGCCAAAAACTCTAAGCCAACCAAATGCCCTGGTACGGCCGAGAGTGGGGAGAGTCCGCTCTCCCTCTCGAAATACTCTCACACGGCCACGCGTATACAGCCTCTGCCAGGGAAGTCCTACTCATTGCCTTCTCGTGGCGGGGGTGTTGTTTACGAAAATGAGAGGACGAAAAGCGAATGTCCGGTGCACATGGGCTCCAGTATCCTGAGGGAACAAATGGCGTATGAACCAATCGTTGGTCACCGGCTACCATGGGACTGCATCTCCTTACGATGCTCCACTGCCTTGTGGGTTAGACCTTTAGGTCAAAGGCTCGGGGAGTGGCCCCCTAAGATAACCACCTGCTTCGGTTTGGGCACCCGGGCAGTATCACAGCCCACACACAAATTGATGAACTCTTTATGCCTATGGAAATTGCCTTTCTCGCTTTGAAAAACAAACAATTGATTCAGATTATCATTACAATTATTGTCATTATTAATACTATTATTATTATTACTACTATTATTGTCATTATTGTTATTATTATTATTATTATTATTATTATTATTATTATTATTATCCACATTATTCACCCTCTTTTATACTTATACAGCGGCTCGTCTTTGGTGGAAATTCGACTGTATCTAAACGTTCTCGAGTCACTGTCCGGTTGAAAATTGTATGTTACCACCGAATACGAGGACTGAAGCAGTTTTTCTGAAACCACGTGCACCATTCAAACTGGCTGCCTTCAACGTTCGCACATTTATGCAGGTCGGACAACAGATAGGGCTGACTATGTCTTTGGAAAGTCTTAATATTGATGTTTGTTGTCTATCCGAGACCCGTATTCAAGACTCTGGAGAAGTACTACAAATTCGCTCTCCATCTGTCGCTTCGAAAAGCTCGTTTTACGTGCGCTTATCCGGGGACCCTGTGGCATCTTCGTCTGGTCTTGCTGGCGTTGGTGTCGCACTGAGCGCTAGAGCTGAGGCAGCACTAGTCGATTGGATCCCCATTAACAGTCGGTTATGTGCTGTTAGATTAGAAAGTTCCATCAAAGTGAGAAGAAATCGGCGTGAGAAACGATGTCTTTTCGTCATCTCCGCCTATGCCCCGACAGATTGCAGCCCGGATGCAATCAAGGATGAGTTTTACCACCAGTTATCAGTTCTTCTCCAGAAAGTGCGTTCGACAGATATTGTAGTACTAGCCGGAGACTTGAATGCTCAGGTCGGGCGTCTAGGCACAGAAGAGAGTCGTTTAGGTGGCCGATGGGGACTCGTTGGTCGCAGGTCAGATAACGGGGACCGTCTACTGCAACTTTGCACAGACCACAACCTGTTTCTGGCTAGCACTAACTTTCGGCACAGTCATCGCCGATGTGCCATCTGGCGTCCTCCCTGTGCATCTCAAGCCTGGACTCAGATTGATCACATCGCGATCAGCTACCGCTGGCGTGGTTGTGTACAAGACTGCCGCTCCTTTTGGAGTACCTATCTGGACTCTGACCATGCCTTGGTCTGCGCCAATCTTGCCTTACTTTTCAGTGGACAACGAAGTGACCACCACCAAAAGATTGATGTTAGCAAGCTGGTTGCAACTTCTGTTGCAAGTAAGTATCGAACCGAGCTAGCCTCTAGGCTAGCTACCACTCCACCGAAAAGTATAGATGAGCATTGGTTGCAATTGCATGACGCCATGAAAATGGCGGGAACAGTCAGTTGTGGGTTTGCGAAACGTCCCGCTTTTAAGCACTGGGTTCCTGCAGGTTCCTTACAACTCATTGAAGCCCGTCGGTTTACTCCGGGTGACCGTGAGTTTGACCATAAACGAAGGATATTACGTAATGAAATCGGGTAAAGCTTGCGTAAGGACCGAGAAGACTGGTGGTCGATGCGTGCTAATGAGCTGGAAGCAGCAGCTGCATCTGGTAACTACCGGAAGCTCTTCCAGCTCATCCGAGCCACTGGCAGCAAGAAGTCTGGTGTGAGTGAAACAATCTGCGAGGATGATGGGATGCCAATCACTAACATCCATCGACGTCTTGGACGATGGGCAGAATTTTTCGAAGGGCAGTTCAACTGGCCTGCTGCTCCGGCAACATCGGTCAGACTGTCCTGCCCTCCATGGCCGGTGACGACTGATCCACCAAATGAGGAGGAAGTCCGCAAGGAACTCCAACTCTTGAAGCGTTACAAATCACCTGGCCCAGATGACTTACCTCCGGCTCTTTTTAAAGATGGTGGTGACTTTTTGACTAAGGAATTGACGACGTTGTTTACAAAGGTTTGGGAACTAGAGAGTGTACCAACGTCATGGAATGAGTCGATAGTTGTCCCTATCTTTAAAAAGGGTTCACGTCGTTCCTGTAACAACTATCCGGGGATAAGTTTACTTCCGATTGCGTCCAAGCTATTGACTTCCGTCATTCTTCGTAGGTTGTTCAAAACCCGAGAAAGATTGACTCGCGAGGAGCAGGCTGGGTTTCGTTCTGGTCGAGGATGTATTGATCATATCTTCCCCCTCCGCCAAATATTAGAACACCGCCATACTTTTCAAAGGCCAACAATCGTAGTGTTTCTTGACATCAGGGCTGCCTTCGATTCGTTGGATAGGACTGTTCTCTGGGATTGTCTATTGAAGAAGGGTGTGCCTGAGAAGTTTATTAACATCCTGAAAGCCCTATATAAAAACACCTCAGGCAGAGTGAGGGCATACAACCACCTCTCTCCATTGTTCCATTCGAGCAGTGGGGTTAGGCAGGGTTGCCCAATCTCACCATTCCTCTTCAACTTTGCCATCGATGACATTCTGGAAACAGCTCTGATGAATGTAAGTAATGGTGGTATGGATCTGTTGCCTGGAGAAAGACTTCTCGACCTTGAGTATGCGGACGATATTGTCTTACTGTGCGATAATGCCCAAGGCATGCAATCCGCACTTAATCAGTTGGTAATCAGTGTCCGTAGGTATGGTATGTGCTTCGCACCTTCGAAGTGCAAAGTACTTCTACAAGACTGGCAGGATTCTAATCCTGTACTCACCCTGGATGGTGAGCAGATAGATGTAGTTGAGAAGTTCGTGTATCTGGGTAGCTGCATAAGTGCTGGTGGGGGTGTGAGTGATGAGATCAATGCACGAATAGTGAAAGCCAGAGCGGCTTATGCCAATCTGGGCCACCTTTGGCGCCTTCGTGATGTTAGTCTGGCTGTAAAAGGCCGGATCTACAACGCGTCGGTGAGAGCAGTTTTGCTCTATGCTTGTGAAACCTGGTCTCTCCGATTTGAGGACGTTAGACGACTCTCTGTGTTCGATCATCGCTGTCTCCGAAGGATTGCTGACATCCAGTGACAATACCATGTTAGTAATGCAGAGGTTCAGCATCGTGTGTTCGGGCAAAGAGACGATAATCCAATTGGTGTCACTATCTTGAAACATCGACTTCGGTGGATTGGACATGTTCTACGAATGTCATTTCAGAGAATTCCACGTCGTGCATTATTTGCCGACTCTGGGACTGGTTGGAAGAAGCGGAGAGGTGGTCAGTGCATGACATGGTGTCGTGGTATGAAAGAAAGCTGGAAAGGACTGGCTTCTGTCGGTCGTTCACGACTCCCTGGTTGGGGTCTGAGAAATGGTGCTACACAGTGGCTAGAGACGTTATCAAATATGGCTCAAAATAGAAGCCAGTGGCGATCCTGCTGTAATCTCTTACTTTCTTCATAAAAAGTGATTGTGTCTCCTTTACCTGAAAGATTTCTTCTGATTGTACCTTTTCGTTCCGTCGTTACTACCACACTACCTTACTTCAATCTCTTCGTCACTGTTCTCTTTTTCTTTTGCGCTCCTTAGTTTTTTTTTTCTACTTCTCTTGAATTCTCATTGTTTTGTGTGGCGCATATATATTGGCGCTCTCTTGTACCAATATTCATGTGTTCAAATAAATAAATAAATAAGTGTTAAACACTTGCTAGGTTCGTATTTCAGTCACACAAATCGCCACTACCACAAGACTCAAAAAGAGTCAGATAGAATATTCAATCGCTGGACTATGACCAGAAGCGAGAACTTGGTGACCGAGAAAAAGAATTCGAGGTGATGTGAAGATTTACTCCGAGTATTTGCTACAAGATTTTATAATGCATATGATCGATTGGTTAATAAGGTTCAAATTCCCATCAGGTTTTCTTTAGTTTTAATTTAGAATTCAATGCTTATGGATCCTGACAGTTAGGCTACTTACCGAATGAAAAATGTACTAAAACCAACAATAATAGGCTTCTATTTCATTCTACGCCAATGAATGCAGCGTCAGCCACAGGTTCGTTTACTTAAGAAAGACAAATAAAGCGCATCAGTATTTTAAATCCGTGATGTATGATCAACAAAAGCGAAGGCAAAACAGACCAGATCCACTGAACGTAAGGTTGTTCTACACGTGCTCTTCTCTTTTGTATATTACCAACATTGAATTAACTACTTCCACGAATTCGGTGTTCATCTTGTTGTGCTAATGAGGTGTGGCAACTTAAACCGATGCATATATGTGCCTGGTTCTACGTTGTAGCCGACTGACTGACATGTGCTCTGGTAGGAAGAATCTATCTTCCTTCTCGAAATAATCATATAAGTTTAGATATTTACAACCTCCAGGGACTTCCTACTTACTGTACTAATATGAAAGCGGGGGCGCCTGGAGGCCATGTAACTCAGTGGATTTACACATTAAATATAATTCGAAATGGAAGTTAGCGGCCTTTGTCATTTCACATAAAAATAAGGACTCCCTTAACTGAGTCGTTTTTTTTGGTTGTATTTTTAAATGAAATTAATCTCCATTGATGTTATTGTTCACTTTTCGGTTGTAATCCCTGCTTCATTTCTTTACGACGTTATCTTTATTTTGAGTGTAGTATACGTTTTTAGCAACCAGTTGTACCAGAATTTGTGTATAAAATAAAATAAAAAATAATACCTGAGATACTTGCATATAAACAAACCCCGGATAAAGTACAAATAGTAGTAGTAAAATATATAGCACTGCTTACATACCGACTTCTTCACATTGCTTTCAGGAACTACTTCTTTTACATTTAAAGCCTCTATGGACGATAAATTTCCCCCAGTAGACGAAGGAGAATCGAGCATTTGTTCAACCTTATAATACAGCAAACAAGAGTGATTAGAAGTTACATATTTATGTATACTTAATGAGTCCGAGTTCATTCTTTGGAAAGACGGGACATATAATTGAAAGTACGGACTAAGCTTCCAAAGCGGCGTGAAAATAAAAGTTTCCTACTTGAAGACACTATGCTTTACAAGGCTCCTGGCAAGTTCCTGACATCTATCGATTTAACATGGTGTATTTCAGAAAACGTTCGTTTTTTAGACGTCAAATTTCACAAACCTAGTACAGAAACCACGAAACCTGAAGATCAAAACTCTTTTTCGAAGTAAAAACAACCTTAAGAGTTTTTCCATCCGGGCACTAACAGGAACAAATTAAATATCATTTAGGGAATTCGCAAACAGAAAGGTGAGTCTATTAGTGGCTTCCTGAAAACCCTGATCAAAATGTTCCACAGCAGGTATAAAAATGTGAACTTACACAGAAATATATTAGTCCAAGTGGCAGGACTTAGTAACGTCATGGAGAATAAAACAGCAAAAGCAAATTCTAATTCTCTATATATCAGACTAGGGTCTATTCAAGGGTGGTCGTTAGTATTGTTAGAAGTTGGGTAAAGTGACAAATTTGTATATGCCTATTAACGCTCCTGATAATCGAATATTCGCTGCCTAATTTATAGTCAGGGAAGTGACGAAGAATGAGGTAAGGTAATATACGGATGATGTGAGGAAATATTATTATTTCTTGTTATTTAATTTAAACAAACATTGTTAGGAGGCACCAAATAGATATGCGCCACATAAGTCATTCGATTTCTGTGAGGGCTGGGGTACTACTTAGGTGCCCAAACCGGAGCAGGTCGTTTTCTCAGGGGCCACACCCCGAGCCATTGACCGGAAGGTCTGATCCACAGGGCAGTGGAACAACGTCATCTCAATTTGGGAAACAGAAGATGAAGGTTATAAAGCCAGTGATTGTGGTGTTCACAAAGTCTGAGGTTTTCAACATTATGAATTGGTATCACACCTTTGTTCAGCTACCACCGACTCTCTTCATACTATGTGGATCATTACGAAGAAGCAATCACTCGGGTGGCTTGTGACATTAGTAATCTTGAAACTGTAGGGCCTGAGATAAGCAGAACAGATTTTATGACCAATAGCATTTGTTTTTATAGAGTTAACTACGTTACCTGGGTCCACTACCAGATTTATAAAGCCTATTGGTAAGTACAAAGTATCAATACAGTGTTTGGACACTTGGCACATTCAAAAGTCTTGGGTAGAACCATAAGTTATGGACTACCTTTGAGTGAACTTAGTTACCTTGAAAAAGTCCACCTACTAACTAGGACTAAATGAGGGTTATAAACCAGTGTGAGGGATTAGAATTATGATTTACAATTGATGGTTAAGGTTAGGACTAGATTTAGGGTTTTCATCACGAACTGACATCAGTAATAATGCTAAGGCTCTATCGAGCCAAATGGATGAGTGAATCTTGAGCCTAAATTCAACACTCGTTATTTTATACCTGATTGGTCATAAATTATAGTCTAGCCTGGAAAACTAGTATACAACCCCAGCATATACAAGAATAACCCAATCTCCCAATTTTGGGGGAAAATTTGGCCCTTTTTGGGTAAGCCACTATAGAAAATTTTTGAGAAATGACACCGAAACCCCGAAATTCCCTCAGATCTGAGGGAACTTAACAATAATTACACAAAATTTTCCTTAAACCTTGGTGAAAGTCATTTGACTTTGGGAATCTTCCCAAATTTGGGAGATTGGGAATACCAACACGACATTATGATTTGGTGCAAGCTCATCCTAATAATGACAATCAAATGCAGTGATCCTTGGAGCTATTACTTCTCCCTTGATCCACGTTAAAATTATTGTAATTAAGAATAAAAATGTACACATATTTACCAGCTCTACGCTATACTGTTAACATGAGACTAATAAGATAGTTCCCAACGGTGATTAATGCATATTTTAGCAGATACTAACACTACTATAATGAATAGAGATGAATCAAGAAAGAAATATCATTATAGATACCAAGGTTTCTCTACCATCTGAACCACCCACCACCATAAAAGCCCGTACCGAGCGCTCTGGTTTGTTACGCTAATTTTTGATTCGGAGAAACAAAATAGTTTCAAATGGTTCTGGCTAAAAGAAAGAAGCTTATGCTTAACGGCACCTGGTATCTATTATTAGCAAATCGCTGATGCTTTCAGATAGGAAACTGCGTATGTTTAAAAATAAAAATTGACAAATATTTTTAAAAACCAATGAGATACTGTCCTTAGCCCTTAAGAATATGTTAAGTTTCCTTTTACAGGGCCCACAAGAAGTGTTTTGAACAAGATCAGTCGACAGGTAATTCTAGCATTTGCCCATAATCCGTTCTGTTATGTTTGCTTCCAGTTTTAGGTTTTTTCCTTGAGATTTATGATGGCACAGGGCCCAGGGCCTCCAATCATTTCGACATAGATCATCTACGTTGGTGATCTACAAAGGGATATCCAGAAGTGTTTAAGATGCTGTAAGTCATTAAAAGGTCAAATTTTTGATGCAAACTAAAATAGTATGCTTAAACCACGGGAAGACATATCACTCGATACAAATTTAAAGCCTTCTAAGGAGAGCTGCAACAGCACTAGTTGAAGCAGAGCTAGATCTTTTATACGAAGCAGCGTGATTTTCAAATCTGATAACTATTCAAAAAAATGCTAAAACAACTTCCTTGCTAATGTCTGACAACGATGTCTGGTTTTGAGGATTCCTCGTGTTGGGGACTTTAGATCCCCAGAACTCACTTGGGAAAGGACCTAATTTTTTAATTTTACTTAGAAAATTTGAATTTCTTTATTTTCGCGCCAAAGGCGCTTTTGTCACCTTTATGTCGTATTTCCCACTAGAAAATATCTTAAATGCTATTGGTTCGTTGCGTCTTTTAGTATGCTATTTGGTAACTGTCCCCAACGACGGTTTTGTACTGTATATATACGTTTTCAATTGTGTTTGTTGTTATCGCTCGTTTCTGGCTGTTCGCAGAATATACTTCCCATTCCAAGCTTGGACTTCTCCCCCTAGTTAGCGTGGCTGGGACGCATCAATAGCTAGCTTACTGGACTTTGGCCACTGAGTCTTGTTTCTTGTTTGCAGATTAAGTGAATTTGTGATAACTTCAACCCTAGCACCTCGCCGGCTGTACTTTTTATCTAACATATAGGGCCATTGAGATGTCACTGAGTTCTAGCCAAATCATCCGGCAGTTGAGTCACTGAAGAGCAAAGAGCTCGTCGATCTTCGACAAGTCCAAGGATAACCAACGCGCATCACTTAACCGTATGCCATTAAGTGGCCCATGAGGTGGTGGTCTCACTATCTTCTCTGTACTCGTTCTTACTAATATATTTCTGTAACAACGTTGATTTGTTTACACAGTCTTAAAAACAGCCATAGTACCTTGATACGACAAAGAGGTTGTCAACTTTAGGTGATGAACGTGTAGATCACCAGTGATTGGAGGCCTACTCGAGCCAGACAGGTATAGTATGACAAACCAGCTAATGTCGAAGTCACACCTCGTGGTCAGCATCTTACTTGGACTACCAAATAGCCATATCAAGGCGCTAAAAATCCTTTGAAGACTATACAACACAGAGGACGTTATTACAGAAATATATTGGTTAAAGTAGATACAAGCAAAAGTAAGACGACTGCCGCATGGGCCAGTCCATGCCATACCATTAACGCGTTGGTTGTCCTTGACCTTGACGGGGATCGATGATTTGTTCGATAATCAGTGACTCAACTGCAGGATGATTTGGCCAGTACTCAGCTGAATTTCACTGGCCCTGCAACCGCGAAGTGTTGCTTCGAAGTTAGCTTTTGATTAGACTGTAGCGTGGCGTGAAGTTGAGATTAACTATGAACACCGCTACCAAGAAACACGTGCCAAGTAAGTCAGAAGGCGAAGGTTGAACGTAACCAAATAAATCCATAAAATCCCCGAGAAGCCAAATATCAGAAGGCAGTTAATAGACCAAGCCGAAATATATTTGCTGGCGATCTCGTGGTATCGAAAGGATACCGAGATCGTGACAGGATACAAGCTTGGTTACAGAACGTAACCGAATTCGCGCGAAGTCACAATCAAAGTGTGTGAATAAGAATGGAAGCACAATATAGCTGTCATTAGCACAGTCAAACAAAAGCACATTAAAACAAAAACTGGTACAGTTGGTTATAATAATTGTTTTTATTAAACCAGTCGTGTTCTCGTGATAAATGTGAGTCACTACAAAACTATTTCCGTCTAACTCGAGCAGGCCCCTAGTCATTCAACATAGATCATCTACGTTAGTGATGAGTCGTTTACTTGTCTTATTACTTCGGTCATATCAAAAATATCCCCAATCACTCTGCACAAATGGCGATAACTGCTATTAAATAATTCACAGTCAGTAAACTCCAAAGGCTTCACATAATCAGTGTATAATTAAAACATACAACTCACCCACATATTTAGATTTAAACAGTCTTCATCTCGTGACACATATACGTGATCAATTTTAAATATTTGACAGACTTCAGTGACCTAGTCACTTTTATCCAACTAGTAACTCTATTTTCCCCACAAAAGATTAACTCATAACACATACACCTCTTATGTTCTCTTGTTTGCTTGTCTGCATGTTTGTGTAATTGATATTATATCCGGTTATGTCTTGTTGTTGCACTGTTAGTATGCACAATGATTTATTTTCGAACAGACTCACATACGTTATCCACTTCTCATCTCTTTATCTGTCTGCCCAAATGAATGTAATAAAAGTAAACATCCAAAACAATTGTACTCGAAGTTTTATATACCTGTGGTTGTTTACGGGATTTATAGACTGAAAGTAACGCCCAGGCATTTAACAAGGTCGATCGCATCTCCTACCAACGACACAGACCACTCTAGTCTTTGTGATGGACGCAACATTATGAATTTTATCTCTGCATTCACTGTTCTGTTCTTCTTTCATCTTGAAGTGTACTAGAATTCAAGCACTCCTAAAGTTTCACTTGCCCCATTTTACCTGCAAAATAACTTTACACAATAATTTAATATACTAATCCATGAACACTAATCACTTGTTTCGAAGCTTGCTCAAATTTTTCCCTATAAGTTATCTGGATAGGCAAAATACTTCAATTTGATTACTAATTTAATAATATTACAAGTACAGGATAAGTAATGACGTATATACTTTTAGTGGCCTGATATCTGAATTCAGTTACATTGTAGGATGATTGTTATAGAAATATATATACCGTCAATCCTCGTATACTTTTATCGACTTCATTCGCGTTGGAGAATAACGGAATAAAATAAGTCAAATCAGAGAATGAATTTTAAACACGTATGTCTCATACAGTCATTGATCTAAGTGGGCAATCAAGGAAACAGAGCAAATGGAGTGAGACGAGACGAAGTAGCGCTCAGTGGAGAAGCAGAGTGATCCAACGCTTTTTGATCAAGTGTGACTAAATATTTACAGTCCGATAAAAATAAGTCACAGATACATAATGAAAAGGGTAGCTTGTTATAGCCTATCATTGATTGAACATTAGAAGAGGCTGGAAAAAGGCAGGAATGTAAAGAAACTCTGATTAAAATCAATATCAGATTCGAGGTTGAAGGCAATTGTATTGTCTGTAAGTATCTGAATTCAGCACGTTAACTATGATTATTTAAAGCCGATCAGTTGATACTCTAATAGTCTGTAGTGTGGCGTCTTGTCGAAATTGACTATGAACGCGTGCCAGGATATCCATTAAATTTTCTTGGAAGCCAAATATTAGAAGGCAGTTAATGGACTAAGTCGAGATATATTTGCTGGCGATCTCGTGGTATCGAAAGGATACCGAGATCGTGACAGGATACAAGCTTGGTTACTGAGCGTAACTGGATTCGCGCGAGGTCACAATCGAAGTGAGCATAATGGATGTTTTTAGCACAGTTAAACAAAAATCACATTAAAACAGCCACTGGCACAGTTGGTTATAATAATAATTGTTTTTATTAAACCAGTCATGTTCTCGTGATAAATGTAAGTCACTACAAGTCACGTATAGCCCGGTATTCAAGTCAGGAAGAACTCGGTGAGCACAGTCAAAGATAATGTCTTTGCAATTTAAATAAGCTACGGAATAATGCACAAACGAATCGTTACTGTATAAAAACGTCACAGCAAGTAATTGACTTTACGATTACAAGATGGCTAATTAAGTATACAATTTCAAGATTTCTGTCAAATATTTGACTGTACACCTGCGTTTAACAATATCCCAAGATAGTCTTTTTCAGTTTTTATGTAGGAAAATCTTTTTTTAACATTTTATTCACTCTCTTTTAGTACGGAATTACCATTATAAACTACTTCAATTAAAACTGTACTAGATCCCTGTTTGGGTTTGTATATTTTCTTAGACTTATCCTGACGTATAACTTAATTCCTTTAATAACGTGATATAAAAAACCTTCTACTCATCGTTTTAGAAATAGATGCTTATTTTATAAAAAACATATACAGCGAACCACATGTGTATAATATTTTACATGAAAAATGACTGAACTAAATCTACATCTTGATACACATCTTAATCAGGTCGTATAAATTGTACATAAATTACTGAATACATTAGTTATCGAACAATATAAAGTGGTAAAATGAAATAAGAGGAAATAGGAATCACTTTTAAAAATTTGGAAATATAATGTAATTGACTAAATTATTTGAACCTTTTCACGTACAAGCTTTTTGAGTCTTAGCATTATGTATGTCACTGAAGTTTAGAAATTCGTAGATTTATATATCAGCTCCCGGTAACCCTTCGAATGTCTTCTAAACCAATCCTTAGTTCTTTGGACATCAAAGTGTTATAATTAACGTAAATATTTTCATCAGTACTTTGAATAGTTGTAAATGGACTTTCATTTCGATCTAGAGGGTTAAAATTACCATCATTCTGTTTTGCTGTGTGTGTTGTATAAGGGACTTCGTAAAGATTTTCGATTTTACGTGTATCTATCTGTGAATTTGCGTTATCACCAAATGTACTCAATTTAACAAGGGAATGATTACTTTCTGGAATATCAAATATCTTTTCATGTTTCATGTAAACTCGTGTATTTTCATGACTGTCATTATCACTGATAGTACTATTATAGGGGAAATTTGATAGATATGTAATTGCTGGATGTTGTGGAATATTTGGATGTCTAAAGTAAAAGAAATTACAGATTAGATAATATTTGTTGAAGAATATCAAATCAGTTAACTCATACATAGATGTGGCATCAAGTATACTGAAAAAAAATGTATTGCTGTATGTTCATTTGAACCACCTAACGTATCCAAAAGTATTTACTTCTTATAGAACATATATTTTCCAAGTTCATTTGTTATTCATAAAGTTTATATAAAAAGTTTAGCAAATAAATAGAAACTGTTCTTGACGAGCAACAGACAAAACACTTAGAGTTTCTTCTTTCTCGAATTGATTTCATATAACGTAACTGTTCATTAGGAAGTTATAATAAATTATTATTGCCATAATAACTTAATTAATATAATGAGCCGAGTAGTGGGATCTATACTTTGTTAGACTATCATACGAAAGATTATTATTCATATTTTTATTCTACAATTAGTAGATGGTTAAACTGTTGTATTCTTTATATCTTTCTATTTCTAAGTTTTTGTTTAGTCCATAAGTAGTTCTCATGTGTTTTATTACTTTAGATGTATTTTTAATAAATGTTTATCCAAAACGCTGATTTAGTAGCATTTGTGGTTTCCTAATTATACTTCTGTGTGGTCAGACATTTCAGAGATATTACTGTATAAGTTTTGAGTTATAATTGAATTGGAATATGACAGGGAACTGATGTGCTTTTACCTTCGTTTCTTAATTGGACACTACGTAAGAAGGATCTCGAGGAAAAATAAGCAGTGAAGTCTTGATTGATGTGTCAGACTGGCAAACAGAAGGTGGTCGGTATTACTGGCAATACATGTGAATGATCTGTGGGTGAGAATGATAATGATTGGTTGTCTGCTTAGTCAGACATGTAGATAGTCTGACAGTGTCTCAGGTGAGTTATATATTCGCTTACCCTTATAATTATTATCAATTGTTCATTGTTGTTGGATTGTGTAGGGTTTTGGTGTGGAAATATATTTACGTTCTAGTCAGGCTGATCACATGTTCTTGATCTGAGTTGTGTTGAAGTCCTGTAGAATGGACGCTGGGAGGGAATATAGTGTAGATATTGGTCTAAGGTAAATTAACGTCCCATACGTGTAAACGTAGAAAACCAACCTTTATAACAGTGAACTAATGGACGAATGGACTAGATAAAGAAATAGAGAAGTCATACGACTGCTCTCCTATCATTACATTCTGATCACACGGGCCCCAATACAACTCAAGGAATCTGATTTTTTCTTGTATAACATTTTCATATCTCCAAACATTCCTGTTTAGTTTTTTTAGTTTACTATCATTAGCTCTTATCATCCAATCAACTCTGTGTTCAAGATCAAGTTATGACTTTATTTGGATCTTACATTTTCCTGTTCAGATGGAATTATATATTTCCTAACATTGTATTGCAAATGTGTGTGAGTTTACAGATCACTACGTTTTAGTTTGTTAGTTCAAATACACTTATTCAAATGCTATGATTACGTGAAACAAAATTTCTTACCTAGACATATAACAAAGCCAAACAAAGAATCCAATGACTAGAATAAGAAATATCACAAAAATAATAGAGAACGCTATTCCAAACATTCTACCAGCTGACCAACTCTAAAAGAAAGACAAATTAGTAAACATATTAGTGATGAAATAACTATTGGGAATATGGTATTAAGATGCGGTAAGCGCCAATGGACGTTGCTATATTTAATAATGGTATGGAAAGGGAATTTACACAAATGGATTGATATTGGAGTAAGCTTCATCGCTTTTAAATGTTTAAGATAGAAATAAAGAGTTATTAGTTGTTTAGTAATTTAACGAATTCAAGCTAAAACATTTTCACTTTCTTACATCGCTAGAACCGACAGTCACCTGCTCAGTTAATTGAATTAATATAATTTTGTGGTAATGGATAACTATTTTCTAAAGTCTTTATAATTCAGCTTTCATAACTTGATGAATTCAGCAAAATTAGTACGTGTCGCATCTTCGTTACCGTCTTCAGGTTCCTAACCTCACTGACTGGAGATTGGTATTCAACTTTTATATTGGCTATCTGATAGAAAACTTGAAAACTCAAACTTCAAAAGCTAGGTAAAACACAACACTATAAACTATTTGGCAGTTGGGTACAAATTCATTGGCTGACATCAAACTATTAGGAATCCTTATTATACTATCAAAAATAAAACTCCATTAATAATGAGTTTGTGTCCATCAACTTGTGAACTTCCTTCTTAAAAATGTGCACTTAATTAAGCTTGTGAGTATAAGTCTGTTTACTGATTTTTTACGTTAATATTCAGATAATTCCCTTTGTGTTTGTTATTACATGATTGGAGATATTCAGTAGGATGCATTAGATTTTAGATTGCGGCTTCTGATATTCGGCATTAGAAAGTATCTACAGTCTGATTTCATTTATGAAATCATTGTATTCTATGACCTTACAACGTTGACTCGGATTAAACTCTATAGTGTCTAAAATCGGACTGAAAGCCGCAAATCGTCAGTGAAACGGAGTTATCAGGCCACTAATCAGGTAATAAGTTTTCCCTGTGGGTTGGTCGACACTATTCTGGTTACTTAAACTAATTAGTTAAAACTTTTGACACAGTTTGTTAATACAAGTCAAGGCTTTATGAAGAGTCCTGTGAGTATTTCGACTGTTGCTTATGTACATAAATATAGTTAGATTGTCTTAATAATTAAGCTGGAGCTTCAGTTGACAAATATGTTTACTCTGCTTAAAACTACAAGAACAGTGGAGCTAAAAATGTTTAGAATAGCATAATCTAGAAATCAACGCTAGGAAGTATAAACACCTGTAGCTAAATAAATATATAAAAGTATGGTTTGAAAATTGCAATTTTCACTCACTTTATTTAATTCGCAAAAATATCCATCCCATTCAGGTGGACAGGAACATCGTGGACTCGAATTACCAGGATGAATTATACAAACTCCACCGTTTAAACAAAAGCGATTTGTCAAGGGCATAGTTGAAAGCCTGTACTTTTCGTTTTCCGATATACAATCAATAACTGGTTGCGTACAAAATGGTCCACTCCAGTTGTCCGGGCAAATACATATAGTCTCATCGTCATCATCATTGATTCCTTGATTAGTATATATGAACCCTTCAGCATCATTATCCTCTATCAGTTCACGTAGTAGTGTACAACGACCACCATTCTTACAGGGCGACTTTTCGCAAGAATAGTAAACTGAATGACATTCGGGACCTGAGTAAACGCATTTCAATGTGAAAGCATAGGAATATATAAAACTTTAGTTTTATAATGCTTTATGAATGTAGTAGTATTATTTGAATAGTGCAACGTAATTACAACGAGATGAATTTTCCAGTGATAGATAGTTGACCAAAAAAATTATTAAGCTTAATATATTTTGTAATCGACACCGGTTTTGACTCTAAATGTTACTGGATTGCAACTTTTTGTATCAACTTGAAAGACAGTAATCTGTATGTCCTAAAACAAGGTTTGACGAGACTTAGCAAGGGAGCAAATTAACATCATCTAAGATACTTATACTCTTGAGACTTAATTTGGTTCTTACAGCAAACCTTCCAGTCACATTGTTGTTCATCCATTCAAATCACTAATGAAGGTTTTTCAGTGAATAAGTCTCGGTATTTGGATTTTTTCAAAGGATTCAAGTTTTCACTGAACCATCTCCATTGTTAGTAATGTTACACTGAATTTAAAATTATCATGAATCTCATCACTCACTGTTTCTTCAGTGCTATATGAAAAATGCCTCACATAGTAGAGAAAATTAAATCACGTTTTTAAAATTTTGGTTCCCGTTTCGTACACATATTTCGAAATCTCTATTTGAAAGTTAAAAATAGTTAGGATTTCTGGAGAATTTTAACAAATTAAAAAGATAATAATAAGTATTTGTAGTCTATGAATGGTTTTTCATTGCATAAGCAAAGCTTCGATTCATGCAAATAATGGTTCGAATATGAATGACTAGTTAAGAACCTGTATATTATTCCAAGTAAGCAACATTTAATTCAGACATTCAAAGTTTTCAGAGTCATATATCATTCAATTATACATAAGGTCACATGGAAACGATTAATGATAGAGATAGAAAACAATGAAAGACTGAAAATGAAAGTAGGTGGGGAATATGGATTAATTGTGAAAAATCTATTGAAGATGATTTCCTAGAAACATAGTCGAAAAGCATGATAGTAGAGATGACACAGTAATATACAAGTTTATAATTTGACTCCCTAGTTATTGGTCCCTATATATAATGAAAAATTTACCTTCATAGTTTTTACAAATGCATTTTCGGCGATGTTCCCTCGGCAAATTTTTACAGCGTGTATTTTTGGGGCAAGGATGTATTTGGCAGTAGTCAATAATGTCACAGTTGACACCATGTCTACCTGAAACAAATATATAACTGTGATTATTACTTAAATCTACTGATGAAAATAAAGATTACATTTAAGAAGAACATTTGGGGAGTTCGGCTTTTTTGTAACTTGTTTAGTAAGAATATAGTCAATTATTATAGTGAGATAAAATTGTATATCTGCCAGACAATTTACTTACAGAGAACTACCTTTTTGGATAAAAAGATAAGTTAGAATTCAACATATTGTTTCACATGAACTGTAAGATCCAAACTGATTACTTACATGATTTAATGTAAAATAATTAAGCTACAAAATAGAAGACTTGTATTTTAGTAAGGGGGTGGTATTTATTTAAGGGTGTGATTTATGCACATCATGAAACATACATTAAATTCTACGTCAGTGAACTATTCATCAACTGACCGTTTAGTTTTTTAAAGTTAGAGTATTCATAAGTACAGTTACTAATTAACTTACCACTGACTAGATTATATATCTAGTTGTTATATGAAGGATAAATTGTTAATAGCTTGCATTTCAGTTTATTAGGCTTTCAGTCTACCGTCATCGACAGATCACTGAAGGTCTCCTTGAAAATCAATGGAACATTAATTCTATCTACTCCTGATTGGGTTAATTAGGAGAAAGAAGATGTAGTTCAACTTAGGAGTAATAATATACACTAAGATAGAGCAAACGGTAATGCTAGGTAAATCTTCTTACAGTTTATCAGATAACTAGCTTCAAGGTATATATGGAAAATATTCTTAGTTGGCTACTTCAATTTCTTATTATTAAAGAATACTTTACCCTAATATGCTCTATTATATATGAAACAAATGTAATAGTGTATGATACGGTCTTGATTGGTGTGATTAAGTGACTTAAATGTTAAGTAAAACATTCATATTTTTAATCCTTAACGATGCTTGAATGAATATCTTTGGATTAAATGTTCTAAAAAGTTTAAAAACGTGGTATACACTTTCTCCTGTACAATTCTAACAACCTTTTAAGATAGAGCATGTTACCAGCTAGTCGGTTTCGTTTCAGTGAACTTCATATCTGACCAATTAAGTATAAACATATTTAGCTATAGAAGACTGAATGTCAGTATCGTTTCTGTCCACTTTAAACTGAGGAAAAGGATGTAATAAGATTTTTAAATCTATGACTGTTCGATAGTAGTGTTCTGTTTGCACTTCTGTTTTCCCTTTCTTCATTATGGTATTATACTACTTAATAATACTCAGTAACCAACTTCATATCCAATCATTTAGTGGCCCGCGACCCTCCATCGTCTGTATGCCGTATCTCTAAGTCGTTACATGAGCTTATTTACTAGTGTAATTATAATTTAATAGAGTTTGTAACAGCTAACTTCAACTTGCATGAATTCTTCGAAGCTTTATTTGTTTGTAGCATCTTACATTTTTGTTTTTACAATGCCTGTTTCAATTGGTTTCTGCCGATGTAGTTTTATAAATGGCTCATAACTGTCATATAGCCTCTCACATATTTTGTAAGTAACCTTTAAATGAGTATGTCATGGAGAATTTTTCCGTTGATTGCTTATTAATATAACAAACTCCTTGGACATCATACGAATTAATGTTTGTATTAATATGGAGATAAATTATCATTTTCTAATTTTACCCATAACTCATTTATTTGATCAGAGCTTCGATAGAATTAATACGTAGTCACCATGAAAACAAGACCATATAAAGTTTTTAGTTAAAAAATTCAGTATATGAGATAATTTCAAGTTAAGAAGATACATTTAAAAGTCTTACCATGCAAACAAATTTTTCGTCCATTCTTGTCACAATCGTATGCCCATGGATGAGGTGAACAGAATATGTCACATTTATTCCCATAATAATTTGAATTACACGTTAGTCTGATTGATGAGCTAAGGCTTGAACAGACAGAAATTTATCATTTAAATTAGTATCATTTTGAGAAAATGTTAGACGAATTTGACATTTGGTTCTAAATACTGTAGAATATAACTCATACTTTTGCGTATCGATGAATAGTATGGTGAACCGCATCAAATAGTGAGGAAAGAACTGTTAGTATTAGTTACCTGACAATTTCATTACTTTATCGGATGCATAAAGCTGATAATTATGTGAAAATATTTGCGAAGGTAATACGTAATAAGAATATTATTACTATTAGCATAGAAGGTTTGTTATGATCGTTCATGTGAAGAAAGTTAGTTAATAATCAGTTACAAGATTATGCTAAATATACGAGGTTGATAACGGTTGGAAAATATTTTATGATAGGATAACTTTTATCTCTGGATTGTGCATGTACACTGGTAACGATTGTTTATTTCACAGGGAAACTAAACTCAAATGATATATTCCATGATATTCAGAAGCGGAAATTCTATTATAAGCAAGGGGTAAATGTTTCTCTGTTTTAAATATTTAGAATTACGTTAAAAAAGCCAGCAAACGATTCTTGCTTTATAGTGATATTTCAGTCATTTTTATAAGAAGAACTTGGAAAATACACAACAAATCTGTTTAAATTTTTCCTTTTATTGACCACGTTCAGGTGCAGATAATATAGGTTGCAGACCTGTTGTGGTTGGTACTATGTCAAGTCGATATTGCGTTATTCTGGCTTCCAGACAGACCAGTTTTCTACACTCTTCTCAAGCCACATTTTTACCTTGCCACTTATTCACTCATTAGTACTGACTTTTTATATGACTGTATGTATGTTAATTGCATACCCCATTCAATATGTATATGTAACTTATTTATGTTTGAATTTAAATGTCAACTTACGTTTGATCAAAAGGAGTTGGCTCACTCTCCTTCTCCACTGCATGTCACTTCATTTCTCGGACTGTTTGTTCAAATCAATTAGTGTATGAAAAATACATATTCAAACTTCATTCTCGGATTTAACTTATTTTATTCCATTATTTTCCAATGCGAATCAAGTCGATAAAAGTATACGAGGATTGACGGTATATATATTTCGATAACAATAATCTTACGATTATATGAACATACAAAAGATGTTCTACTTCACAATATACTAAAAATGGGTAACTTTATAGTACATAGTTGTTAAATAATTACAGTAGAGACAAGATGATCCACTTGATTTCATTAATCCGGTGTATCTAGAAATATAATGAAGTCATCAGAATGTTTCTTTTTTTATATTTTTTCATTTCACAGAGGCATTCTTTTTTTGTAAGAGTATTAAAAATAGCAACCTCAAGATCCTTATTTCAAAGGAAAATCTAAAGGATTTAATTTTATTTGACATATTCAACTTGGGACTTAGATTTAAGGCTTGTGTGCGCTGACAATTCGACAGTTTTCAATGAAATCTTCACTTTTCTCTTCTACCAAACTGTTTTAAAACATAACCGACCATCATACTAGATAGTTATGTAAAGATGAATGAGATTCATTTCATAACTTCTTATTTGAACATCTATTTAATTATGATCAACCTACCTGCCAGAATCGTCATTCCAAATTATCCTCAAAATTAATTGTGACTGGTATTAATTGAGTTGCAATCAAAAATTGATACACAGTATGGGTTTCATTAACCTATCAATTCAAGCTTGACTTCTCTATTCGGAAGCTAAATATTTATTTACTTAATTTGCTATGGTACTAAAACTATTCTAGTTTTCTGTATAGTTATTAACACGTGTTCATTTCTCTTTTTACTTTTAACAGGGAAATGATCTTCCACACTTTTCTTCAATATGTTATTTTTACTTTAACTAGTAAGTCACTTATGTTGTATATTTTGTCAAAATCCTTTGATAAACTATGATCATTTTGTTGTTCTATTTTGTTGTAGAATATTGTAAGACAAACATAGATACATTGGTGTAGCTTTGGTAAATAACGTAGTAAATAAACTTTCTTTACTGAACTCTTTTATTTATCTTGAAATAACTTATTACAGAAAATGTTAACCTACCTGAAAGATTCACTTATATGACTGTAATTTAATGGAATAGTTTGAAATACGTTGGTTTTTTCTGGCTGATACAATCCTGTAGCGATGGTAATTATATCATGTTCACCCAAAGCATCTTCATCGTAGACATAAAGATCTAATCTATATTTTTCCTATAAAATGAACAAAGATACGTGATTTCCACCCTACTATAAAGACTATTCTGATATATTAGGAGTTAAATATTCATTGCTACAGGAAATATCCTGATGATTACTGTCTACAAGACTGTTTCCAACCATATGCCCAATTTTTTATTGCTAGGACTAAACTATTGGTTAAGAAATAAAATCTCCCTCCCATCATACTAAGTAGTTAAGTGTTATACACCAAATTTAGCGATAAATATTATTGGGAGGGAAATTCAAAAATCCTAGATAACCTAGATGAACAATAAAATGAATTTCCTTAACAGACTTTTGACAGAACTGATGGATTAAGCTAATTGTACACTGCATTGATTGATGGAGAGTGTATTTCATTTAAAACTAGTAGAGGTCATTAGCAAGTATTCCTTGACGTAGTTTTCAGGTTAAATGACACTACAGCAAAGCATACTTGTAATAGTAAGGTATCCAATGCTCTCTGTATATTTCGAACCCAGATCACCTAGATTAGCAGTATGAGTCGTTATCAGGGGTAGGCTGACATGTTTAGGAACATAATACTTATATTTATTGAGCATATACTGGTGACCAATACTGTGTTCTTCATTGTCTAGTGCTGGTCTAACTTTGTTATTGAAGTTATAATGTGGCTACTAGTCAAAGTGGTTATGTTTACTGAAGTAACTAGAAATGTTTTCATGTAAAAATATAGAGCCAGATATCATGTATTTAGATGGCGGTTATCGTAAGCTCATTATATCATGAATCAACCTATAACCTATATAGAAACGACTAGTGACCAGAGATCCCCAGATAACTCTTTCTTGGGCTCTCTTTTCCAACTGTTGCCAGGAGCTTTTCATGGTCTCTATGACTGCTTCTGATTCGCGTCTTCGTGTGCTTTTTGGTCCACTTCTTTTCCGTTTGCTTTAAGGAATCCAAGTTAGAGCTTGCTTTTTGATTCAGTATGATGATTTTCTTGAAGTCTGTCCTTTTGAATCTTTTCCTAACCTTCTTAATTGGAAGTTGGTTTATTTTCTAACACAGTAGGTTATTTCTAGTGGTGCCTAGCCAATGGATCTGGAATATCGTGCGTAGATAGTTGTCTATAAATCCCTGTACTTTTTGATGATGGCTATAGAAGTTGTCCAAGTTTCAACCCTGCACAACACAATTGTTTTGACTACTGCTGGAGAAGCAGAAAATACAATTGACATCTTGAATGCAACTAGATGATTTGGACTTCACTGATGACCTAGCTCTTCTGTCACATACACATCAACAAATGCAGGTCAAGACGGCCAGTGTAGCAGTAGTTTTTAGCATATCCAAGGGAAAAAGTAAGATCCTGAATTACAACATAGAGAGCAGTAACCGAATCACACTTGATGGATTAGTACTGTACGAGATAGGAATTTTATGTAATTGAGCAGCATTATCGAGACTATAAATCATGGATAACCAATCAGGTAAAAGGTAACAGGCATCGGATTTTGGCGCGAAGTTCACTCATCCATTTGGCTAGATAAAGTTTTGACATTATAGCTGATGTCATTTCGTGATGAAAAACAGAAATATAATATATAACTTTAACCATCGATTGTAAATTATAATTATAATTCATCATACTGGCCCATAATCCTCATTTAGTCCTAGTTTGTAGGTGAAGACTATCAAGGTCAGTCCAGCGTCGCTCAAAGGTCGTCCATAAATTATTGTCTCACTAGAAATTAAAAAACGACGATGGAGGTAGATAGGACATACATTACGGAAGTCATCAAACTAAATCCCTTGTATTCAGTGCTTCTTCTCAGACGTGACAGTCTCCATGATCCAGTCAACAGCCAGAATGAAAAAAGGTGGAAGTAGGCAGTCTTTACTGACACCGACACCCACACAGAGAACATCTATAAGCTGCCTTCCATGCTTGACCTTACAATTCAGTACATTCGTGATAGTTTCGTATGATGGTGACGATCTTTTCAGGTCCTCTGTAGTGTTGAGGAAGATTCCGCATGATTTTCCTATTCACTCCGTCAAATGCTTTTCATGGTCAAAGAAGCTGATGCTTAAAGATTAGTTTTGTTTAACTGATTACTTAACAATAATCTGAAGTATTGCGATTTGGTTAGCACACAATCAATCTATATGAAAACCAGCATTTTGATCTCGGAGTTGGGTGTCTACTGAATCGTTCATCCGGTTTAGCAACGCTCTGTTAAAAACTTTTCCTGTTACTGACAGTAGTGTGATGTCTCTGTAGTTCTCCCACTTTCTGAGATCTCCTTCCTTCTTTCCAGTTTATCAACACTTGGTCCTCTGCCCAAATCTTCCTGAATAGAATGTGGAGCATGTTTGCAATTACTCCTACATGTTACTTCATTGCTTCATCTGGTATGTTGTCTGGTCCTTGTGCTTTTCCAATCTTAGTTAACCTAGAATGGATCCAGTCATATAATATGTTCAAGAGAAAAAGGTTCAAATAGTATTGTGCAGAACAAATTATGAATAAGGACAACTAGTTTTGGTAAGCAGTCATCAAGCTTTCTGATGTATGCTACTTATATCGACCTAAGTAGTATATAACACCAATCAGAAGTGGAATGTCTGTCAAAGAAGGTTGGGAAGATCGAATCGAATAGAACAGCTACAGAGAGTAATTGTAATAGCAATGAAGGAACGATGAAGATTGGGAAAATTGATGAAGGATTTAAAAATGAAGTATCCAATGCATGGTTTTCACATTTTATCAAAGAATTCTGTAATTTCCTACCAAATCACGTTGGTCATCCCCACCTGCATTCTTGTTCACCGTGCATTTAATATAGATAATAGAAATTTAGGTATTTATGACCATTAACATCTAGTTGAGACTTGTTACCTTGTGTCTTAATGTTTAAAATCCTTTCAAGATAATTAAATACTCAGCCGTAACAAAAAAGAAACTTTAGGAGAACTTACAGGTAATTTTTCATTTATTTTTTCAGATACTTTAATGTGAAATTTCGCAGTGTCCGCAATAGTCTCTGTTTTCACATGGATTAATTGCCTGTTAAACAGAATTGTAACAAATTATTTGTGTCATCGTCATACCCTGGTAACTGAAGTATATTATAACAGACTGAATATTATGCTTGTAATAATGGTTTTTTCATGTAAGAGGTCAACTTAATTATATTTCGGATATTAGAAATTGGGATATATATTTCATCTTGTTGTTGACAGTTGAATGTAGCTATTTTTTTATATTTTCTGCTAACTTTGAATCACTGTGTTAGTTCAATTTTCTTAAATCGTGAGATGTTATCATAATAATATCAGTGTGACAGTTCAAATAATTTTACCCTGTCGGTTATGATTTATCAACTGACGAGACCATTTTCTTACCATAGAAAGTTATTGAAAGTAGTTATTAGCTTGGATAGTCATTAAAAATACATTAAAGTCAAGTTTGATGGAAGTCAATTACTGAACTTGTGATAGTTAAAACCTTCTTGGTCTAAATGAAGACATGAATTAAAAACATCATGTCAGATAATAACAATTATTTATTCTAAAATTAGCTGAATTTTCGACTTGTTACTTGAAATCTGTGACTTTGTAGTGAATCATCTTAGAGATGATCCCTAAGGCTTCGTATATCAGTCGTTTTAATAACCGTTACTAGTTAACTCCCAAAGGTGTATGCATTTCAGAAGACAATATGAAGCGTTGACTACAGTTTACTATTGCACAGTGCAGATCACTAAGCCACAAGCATCCGAGCAGAAATGCTGGTGAGAGCGAGTAAATACAGAGTCGGATGGATTGACATGACGTAAGCACACTTATATGGGAAAACGAATGGTTTATTAAGAGATTTAAGCAACTAATACTTAGGCCAGTAAGAGAAATATATATGTAGGCTGTAACATGTGATCAAGCATACATACATGAATATATTTATACAAAGATAAACAAATTGTTACTGTTTGAATGACACTGTCTGTTAAATAAGTCAATTGAATGTCTTGACAAAGCCAAACGTAAACAGACTTAAGTGTAGGTGAGGTGGTATAAACTAACCTGCCAAACAATCTAGTTAATAGGACAGACTCAATTACGAGCAGTAAACATCCTAGTCAGAGATCGATGTTAGCCAACAGTTTTGTCCAGAATGTGTATTTTATCCTACTTGAGACTCGTAAACTGAACGTTCGTGCATACCAAAATGGACATTCATCCTGGGACTCAAACCTGGAAACGTTCACATCAGACGTTGTCGCGTCAATATTTTAGCTACTGAATCCGGATAAATACTGGTTTGCGTAATCGGATGAAAATGAAACATTCTGTTGATAAGCTAAATTGTCGATCGTTAATACTAAATAATTAAGTAATGTTTCTAAATATGAAGAATTATACAATGTTTACCAAATATGTTGGGTTTTAATATAGTAGGCCGGATTTAATATGTAATGAAACGAATTTACTCGATCTAAGTCCCTATAAAGTATAATGTAGCTATCAGATCAATATTAATACTAGTTATTTTGAAGCCATAACATTTATTTAAGCATAATTATTCTGTTTATAGACGACTTAATGATAACGCAATCTAATCCAGTGATGGAATATATAAAGTTAAATATCTGAAAGCTCGTAAATTTTCTTTTTTTTCAAAAAAATTAATGCCGAAATGAGTTAAATATGGAATTAGGTCCTGGGTTCGAATCTCGCGAAGCGAAGTACTAAGGAGTCCCACAGTAGAATGAAACGACCATCCAGTGCTTCCAGGTTTCCCATGATGGTTTAACTTCAACTGACCCATGATCAAAACTAATAAACATATGGTTTCCTTCAAAAAAATATAATAAATTACTTCGATTTCTATAAATTAAATAGTTTCACTACTTTAATTTTCACAAATTAATGTGTAAATTAATGAATTACCTTGAGTTATTGTCAGCTAACTCATACAATCCCACAATTATATAAACATCACATCGATGTAATTGCCAATCACAGTAAAATCCACTACTTGTAGTTGATTCTAGATTTGTGTAATAAATTTCTATTTCAAAACGTCCACCAGGTAGATTTATCTACAAATAAATCAAAATATTTAGCTGTCAGTTATTTATAATACTTATATTACTACTGATAATAATAACTATAGTGATTGTATTCTCTGAGTAAATGTAATGAATAATATTAATGTTACATGTTTGTTTGTTTAAATTTATAAACAGAAATCATTCTTGAAATTTTAATGTAATTATTACATTGGATACATAATAGGTGGTCAGAATTTCAATAAGGGAATATTTTAAAGATTTATTTGTAAAAAAAAACATAGATGAATAAATGACAAGAATGAGGTAAGGATTATTTAGTTAATATACCTACGTTCGTAACCATTTTTCTGGTAAGTTGATATTTTCATGTAATTTAAACGTAGATTGTAATAATACAAAGTTAAACTTAACAAAATTATTTGTACAGCTAGATCTTATACAGATGCGTTGTCTAGTAACATTGATCATATTATAAAAAGAACATATGTAGGACTCAGTAGCTAAGTAGATAACACGATGGCGTGTGAAGAGAACGGTAGTGGGTTCGAGTCCCAGAGTGAACTTCAACTTGGATGCGCAAGTACAACCAGCTGACGAGTCCCATGTAGGATGAAATGCTCCTCCTAGATTCCACTGCTAGCCACTATCTATATTTGCGTATGTAGATGAAAATTTAATTTCAGTATAGTGAAAATTCCTTTTTTGAAATTTAGTTAAAAGAACGAATAGAACAAAGAAATTTTGTTTCATCGTGGTTATACACTAATATATATATATATATATATATATATATATATATATATATATATATATATATATATATATATATATATATATTCACTAGTCGAACTAAATTAGACTACCACTTAAAACTTGGAAGCACTAGATAGGATTGGACTCTTCAGAAGTGCGCATCCACGATCCCACACGCGGGAGTTCTAGTGAGGAGCCATGACTAGTGGAGTTCAGTCTTTATGGAATGTGAGACAGTTATCTACTTCAAACAATGGGCGAAAGGTTGCGCATAATCATGGATCGATTGAAGTTATATATCAACTGTCGGATACCGGCCCAGTGGTTTATAGGTTAGGCGTTTGTGCGCGAGACCGAGGGCCTTGGGTTCGAGTTTCACATGCAGGGTTGTCGACAAGCACTGCTGAGGAATATCGTACTAGGACGGAACAACTGTCCCATGTTTCTAGGTTCTTAATGGTATTCTAGTTTGGATCCACCCATGAATTCAACTTTGAACATTAAATTAATCTCAGTCACCAGTCATTGGTTTCTTAAGATGTATAAGTTAACATTCACATGAACGAATAATTCTAATAACATCTTTACATTCATTAGACATTTTATATGTTCATGTATGTATTATCAATGATTTTTCTTTGCAAACTGTAATGCTGTTTCTTGACATTTCATATTTTATTCGTTTAGTCTTTCTTTTCAGGTGATCACTGACTAAAGTTTATTATCTTATTGAGTTATTTCAATAATGAATAACATTTTAAATAGATTGTAACTGACAAAACACTATGTCGTCTATTTTAGCTTACAAATCTCTTCATTCTGTCTTACATTAAAAAGGTATATATTAAACAAAAATAACCAATCATTGAATGATAATTTAGATAATACTTGATTCTTTATTTTATTATTAGAATGAGGTTTTGCTTTTGGAGATGGTAGTGAGTTTAATAGTTGAATCAATGAATCGATGCAAGATAGACCACCATTGAAAATCTGGAGCCATTATACAGCCATTTCGTTTTAATATTTTACTTGAGATCACCATAACCAAGTTAACTTGAAAAATACTATACAATTACATTATACATAAAAAATAAACTGTTATTAATGGAACATGTTTTAAATACCTACAGATTATTAACGCTATATCATGATCAACTTTAGAACAGTTTTTACGTTAGGGGAGATAATTTTGAGCCTATCAAGCTCCTATGTAATAGGATGTTTAAGTGATTGGAAGACTTTCTCGTCCTATACATAATTACAGTTCCTATTAATTTTCTAATAATATCCTGTTGAATAACGAAATATTAGTCAAAAACAAAATGCAATTTTTTAGCAATAGGTTCGAATGCAATTTCAATTCGGTTGATCAGTTGAGCGACAATACTAGACTCTACACACTGAAATATATTAACCAAATTTAGTACATGAATCTGTACATAGTTAGATCTACTTGATGATCTCTCAACGGAATGAATAAATATTAGTATATCCTGATATCCTGTCTTACAGATTTCGAATATGAATTATACATATATAAAAGCATATTAATTATTTTTGTTATTAAATAAATAACACTTACCTCTGTGTTTGAATGAATATAAATAGAAAGAAACAAATTGATAACAATGAAATAGTAAAAGTAGTAGTTGTTGTTGTTGTTGTAACAAAATCGATTGAAGAGAATAGTCCAAAGCATTTTTGTAAATCTTATGATGTATAACTTGAAATACAATGTATTACACTGCAAAACTGTTTAATTTATAGTCATATTAAGCTTATTCAAAACTATGTCGTTTTGTTTATTTGTATAAAGATCTAAAATGTATGAATAAAATTTACTATGGAATAGTTTAGTGTAAAAACAATTTTTTGTTTTTCGTTTTGTTTATCTATGAAGTTTTGATTATGTAAAATGAAATATATTTATCCGAATAATACAAAATGAATAGTAAGTTGGTCAATCAGATTACTATACATATAGGAATCAATAATCTGAATATAATCAATGTTATATCACCTGGATTGAATTTTGTTTATTATTAAATGTAATATGGAAACTGAATTTAGTAAATGGAATATAGTTGAACACTTCATTGATTTTTTGACAATCGAAGAATGAAATGATGAATATGATTTGTTACTGAGACATATTTACAGACTTTTTCACATATTCATTTGAGTATAATTAAAATACCAGATAAAAATTAAAAAAGAGTCATAGCAACATATCTAACTGATAAAGTGGATATTATAAATGTCATTTAATAAAGAGCTCTTATAGTTCTTTCAAGGTTGCCTACTTTCACCCTTTCTCTTTCTCCTAGTGATCGACTGGATCATAAAGACGTCAACATCTGAAGGGCACCATGGGATACAGTGGACATCTAGGATGCAGTTAGACGATATAAACTTTGAGGATGATCTTGCCCTTCTATCGCAAACGCAACAACAAATACAGGAGAAAACGAACAGTGTAGCAGCAGCCTCAGCAGCAGTAGGTCTCAATATACACAAAGGGAAAAGCAAGATTCTCTGGTAAAACACAGCATGCACCAATCCAATCACAATTGACGGAGAAGATTTGGAAGATGTAAAAACCTTTACATATTTGGGCAGCATCATTGATGAACATGTTGGATCTGATGCAGATGTGAAGGCGCGGATCGTTAAAGCAGGAGCAGTACATCTACAACTGAAGAACATCTGGAAATCAAAACAATTGTCAACAAACACCAAGGTCAGGATTTTCAATGCAAATCTCAAGACAGTTCTACTGTATGGGGCGGAAACTTAGAGAACTACGATAGCCATCATCCAGACGATTCAGGTGTTTATTAACAGTTGTCTACGCAAAATACTTCGGATCCATTGGTGAGATACTATTAACAACAACCTACTGTGGGGGAGAACAAACCAGATCCCAGCGGAGGAAGAAATCAGGAAGAAGCGTTCGAAGTGGATAGGACACATATTGAGGAAGTCACCCAACTGTGTCACAAGACAAACCCTCACATGGAATCCTCAAGGCCAAAGGAGGAGAGGAAGACCAAAGAACACATTACGCCGGGAAATGGAGATAGACATGATAAAAATGAACAAGGATTGGATGGAACTAGAAAAGAAGGCCCAGGACAGAGTGAGTCGGAGAATGCTGGTCGGCGGCTTATGCTCCATAGGGAGTAACAGGCGTAAGTAAGTAAGTAAGTCTTATAATTCTTTGAGTTTTTAAGTGGACTTTCTTAATTTGAACGCACAAATGGGCCAACAATTCCTTTCAGAATCCTTTGAATTAACTAGTTAAAAGTTTGTTATATTTATGACATAACAATTATTTGATGTTTATAAGCTTCATGGAGGCATGTATCTAAAGTTGAGTTTTAAGGAGTTTACGGTTAATGATCAAAAATTGTCACTGAATATTGTTGAAGTAGTATGCTTGATCATTGAATTTATGATTCAGTGTTTCCACTTATTAGTCTAAGAAAAAGTATTTCTAAGTTTACGATCCCATCAGTTTCCTGTCAGACTAACTAATATACAATCGAAATATATACTGAGATCTTAGGCCATTAGAATATTTTAACAGAATCATACCACAAGTTAGAAAAATTAAAACGTTTGAAGAACTAAAAATCCTTCAAACTGTTTATTGATTGATAATAGAAAGCAGGCGGATCCAGTAGATTCTAATTAATTATTAGAGGTGAATAAAAAGACAATGATTAGTCAAAATATGTGTTTTCTTGCGAAAGAGATAAACAGTCTATAATAGAAGTATGGAACAGATGTAAAACGTCCAAACGAATGATATTACGTAAGACTTTTCATGAGTGCAATAATCAAAGTGTATCATTTTTAAAGAAGTGGTAGATCAAAACGGCTAGTAGAAAATATTATCAAGGAAACGTTTCCAACAATCTAATCACATATTTACTTATCAAAATCATTTGGTATGAAAAGTAAAAAGTTTTCTCAAAACAATGGTTAAATAAATAAAACATGAAAATAAAACTTAGAAGGAATCGAAAGTTGTTGCATTATCCTTGGGATAGAAACTCGACTACTGAGAACTATTGCCGTGTCAACAATTAGTTTTTGAACACAACACCGAAACTTAAACATCATATTACATAGGGGCTTGGTAGGCTCAAAATTATCCCCCCTAACATTTTATGTATAGTAACTTAAAGGCTGTCCTAAAGTTGATCATAATATAGCGTTCGTTAATAATCTGGAGCTATTTAGAACATTTTCTATTAATAACAGTTTATTTTCGATGTGTAATGTGAATCTATAGTATTTTTCAAGTTTACTTGGTTATGATGATTTCAAGTAACTCCACTAATATTAAATCTATAAACTCTAACACTGACACTGGCATGTTTGATATATCAAGCATTGAAGTCAAGTTGTATGGGGTTACATCAAGTTGTTCTAATACAAAAACCACCAAAGCAGCAAATAAAATCTACGCGATCTAGTACATTATTCAAAGAATTATCTAATTTTCATCTATATTTGATCATTTCAAACCTTTAAAATGTGAAGCACTTAGACTACTTATTTAATAAAAAGTAGTAATAATATTGAAGAAGAAGAATGTGGTTAAAAAATATGTTCATACTATTTTGGTTGGCTTACAGCAATCACTAAACTAGAACACTGATAGGTATTTTAGTTAAGAATTATCTTCTAGTTAACACAAATGACACTACATTTTAAATAAGAGAGTTTAGGTTTGTACAACACCATAACCATATTCTCCTTTCATTAACTGTTTCTAACCGACCAGGGAATTTACCATGTAATTTCGTAACAGTTTACAATGAAATTGCGAAAAATTTACAAGAGAAAATGTATCCAGTCTTGTAGTGCTTTTCATTCTAGATTTTCCTCTGTTCTTGGGTGAGTAAACCATGTAAATGGTAATATTCTCGTTAGCTGGTTACAACCTGTGATATTTAAAATTACAATTACATAATGGGTTTAAATTACTTACATGAAAAAGTTTGCTTGGAGGTTCTATTGAAGATATATTCATAATGAATTCATGCTATTCTGCTACAATAATTGTCCTAGCTCTTTTCAAAATAATAAAGGGAACTATGTGTATAGATGGTAATAATCAGTTCGTTTATCATTAAATAGCGTATTAACAATAAACAGTTTAATTGGTTTATCAAAGTTTTCGGGATGAAATCAACGGAACAATGACAGTATGATTTAGTAGATCCAAATAAAATGATCGTTTTGTTTTAAAAAAATTGAAGTTTTTAATTTTTACGATGATTACAAGTTTATTGAATAATTTTAAGCTTGCTATGTACTGAATATAATTGATTGATTAAGAGTTATTAATTATGTAATCTACCTATTCGGTTACGATTTACAGTTCATAATATGAATCACAATCTGAAGAAACTTCAACTTCAGTATTAGGCTAGAAAGATGATATGCCAAGAAAATTAAATGTTATAACCGAAACTGCATTTCCTATCAACGAAAAAGCGATCTAATGTTCTGATCATGATATGCTTATAAGCTTCATCAAACCTTCAAAATAATCGAATTATATATAATGTATGCAAATTACGTAGATCTTTACACTATATAATATATCAAACTTCCATCAAATTTTTTTGAATAGTTGGATAAAATAAATTACGACTACGATCAAATCATACAGTAATCGAGCTTTCTTGATTTAATATAATTCGTATTCGAAAACTGTAAGACAGGATATCAAGGTATACTAATATTTACTTGTTCCATCGAGAGATCATCAAATAGGTCAAACTGTGTACAGATTCATGTACTAAATTTGGTTAATATATTTCAGTGTGTAGAGTCTAGTATTGTCGCTCAACTGATAAACCGAAATGAAGTTGCATTCAAATCTATGCCTAGGAAATTGGATGTTGTTTTTGACTAATATTTCGTTATTCAATGGGATATTATTAGAAAAGTAATAGGAACTGTAATTATGTATAGGACGAGAAAGTCTTCTAATCACTTTTCTATTTATTACATAAATGTCTATGAAAAATTAACCATCATCAAACGTAATGTTTGGCTTGATTTCAATAATTGTCAAGCTTATAATGATTCATGGTGAGCATCATTTTCAAAAAGAATTTCTTGCAGCGCTATTGCTAAACATAGTATTATAGAAGTACGAGGGGATATTCAAAAAGTTTGTTGAAGCCTTATAGCATAATGAAAATGAAAAGACTGAAGCTGAAACAATTCTTAGTACTTCTGCTCTATCGTCAAAACACATGAAATACTCCTAACTTCTCATTAATCCAACCTCCTCATATAGTTTCGTAAGTCTCAGAGAAGTCGTATTCATAGAATACTACAGAGTTGAATTAGCATGAGAACATATATCAGCTAATTTTTGTTTTCTACACCCTCATATTATTGACGAAATTTATTTGTTAAATCATGTTACTTACGAGTAGTTAAAAATTATCTAAAAAATATGTTCATAATCTCTGTGTTAATTTTGCAAACTAGCGAACAATCGATACTATTTGGTTATTTTACATTTTTTCAGTAATAAAATATATACATGAAATTACCGTCAGTCATGTCAAAGGGTAAGTAGAATATATTTCTGGTAAAGTAGGTGCATGTTATGATTAGACTAATTCAGGTAATACGTGACATATGCTACTGATGTCGACAGATATAAGTAGTTTGTAACATCAATCAAAAGTGGAATGTTAGGAGATAGAAGGTTAAGATCGAAAAGGAAAGAACAAGAGCAGAGACTGATCGATGTGGAAGTGAAGGGAGAATGAAGTTTAAGACGATCGGTATACATTTTGCAAATGAAGTATTTACTGTATAGCTCTCAGATTTTACTATAAGATTCTGTAATTTTACACTCAAAATATATTTGATTGTCTTCGCTGGTATTCTCATTCACTACAAACGTATTTTGAAAATTAATCAACTGATACCAGATTTTTGTATTTAGATTATGACATAGATAATCGTTATCAATCAAAGATTGTTTCGATTGATAATAACGGATATCAATTAATAAATTAATGGATTGGTTGTCGTTAGACATTAACACCATTGGATGCCGGCACAGAGGTCTAGTGGTTAAGCGCCAGGCGCGAGACTGATAGGCCCTTGTTTCGAGTCTCGTGGGGTAAGAGGTCGTGGATGCACACTGCTGAGGAGTCCCATACTGGGACGAAACGGCCTTCCAGTACTTCCAGGTTTTCCATGGTGATCTAGCTTTGATTGACTCATGATTTCAATCAGAAATAAACTTGGTAGTGAATTTTTCTTGTTTTATATACGAAAAGAAATGTCACCAATCTAGATTTATCAAATTTAATGTTTTATTAATATTTAATCAGTTTAATTCAACTCTAACTGAACAATTAGTTGTTCATTGGTTACTGTTATATCATTAACTTAGTTATTATATAAACTTTAAGTTATTTGTTTTAATCTAAAAATGATTTGAGAGTATTTCAATTTTCTCTATACAAGATCAGTCAGCTAATAGAATTATATTTCATTTTCTTTTCTGTTCAATTTTCATTATTGTTAGCAGTTACTACTCATTAGTTTAGTTTGTTATTATATGGTATGTTTTTACTATGTACACACCTTACTATGTTAGATATTTAAAAGATCAGTAAGCATGAAACGCAATTAGTTGAATGAAACTTATTGGGAAAGGTGATATAAGTCACAAAATATTCAGGTAACAATTCATTATCTACTATGAATAAGTCATAAAGTTTGATTTTATATTCATTAAATCTTGACAAACTCATTAACTTCCTAATGGTTCTTATTAAATAGATTTTTGGTTTAAATCTATACAACAGATAACATAAATGA